CATGCACTCTAATAGCTTTGAAGTATACACAGGAATTCACTAAAAATAATATAATATACAACACATAAACCTGTGCCTGAGGGTTTCAGAGCAAAATTCAGGAAAGGGCAACAAAACTTAAAACTTTAGTACTGAATTTTTTCTTTATTCAATATGTTTTAAACTAAATGGTCCTAAATAACACAAAAAACAAAAAAAACGCCCTTCCCCCGTAGGGGGGGGTTGGTATAACAAGTTTAGCTAGCAAAAGTTGACAACTTTTTCAACTCGTATAGTTTTTTTTTGGATTTTTCGGATTTTAAAGGTGAAGAAGTGAACTTTTTTAAATTTTAAATTTTTATCAAACAATAATAATTTATATATTTTGAATTTTTTTTTCAGTCAGAAACTACATTTAAAGGGGGAGGGGATGGGGTAACTTTTGAACCTTAAATGGTAATGTTACATTTAATTCCTTTTTTTTTTAATTAACTTAAATTACAGCACAGAATACAAATCATAAAACGTTTAATTGGCTAATTAATATTCTATACGGTCAAAGTACAAGGTGCAAGTTGAACGCAATAAAAAATATGTAAATGTAATCGGTAAAAAAAAAGGTAAAAATCGCCGTAATAGGTCATAATATTATATTTATTAATCATCCTATTGGATTATTTTGTGGGGTTTTTCTCATTCAAAACTTAATTTTTTACTACAGATTTTTTAAAACAAATTTAGTATGTTACCTATGTAGGGTGAAGAAAGGTATTTTCGTGATATAGTTTGTTGATTGTATCGCGTAATTCCCTATTAGAAAATTGTCTTGAAAATCACACCGATTGTTAAAATAACTGTGTTTTAAGATTCAGTGTGATTTTCAAGACAATTTTCTAATAGGGAATTACGCGATACGATCAACAAACTATATCACGAAATTGCTTATGTCGCGAAAATACCTTCCTTCACCCTACACCGTAAAGTATCTACACACTGTATAGGTACGGTCTACTTAACCATTTTCATAAATTGTCAGACCTGACATACTTGTTATTGCAGTTTTATTTTTTATTCTTATTATTTAAAAATGAAATTTAGTGTGTCGGAGTTAAACTTATTTAGTGCTTTTATGTAAATAGATGTATGCAGATTGCATACACCTTTTTGTGTAAAATCCTAAAAACTGTACACTAAGACACTACTGTTAATTTTTTTAAGATTATAATAGTACATTTTTAAGTGTAATTTGACTAGATGTATTTATTTTTCTGGTACGAATTTCTCTCTCTGATTTCTTGAGTTCCTTAAATATTTTCTTCGATATTCGACGGTATTAATTGAGTAAAAAAATAAATCTCTTATTGTGTGTATTGTTACTACTGAGCAAGACAATCTGATGCTCGTTTTTGAAAGATCCCCGGCCAATGGCATGTTCGTGTCATAGACTGATTGTATGAACAATCAAAATAAAAAAATAAATGATTAGCTTTAAATTACCAACTGTGTTCTACTAGGGTCAGTAAGTTCCAACTTCTAAGTTTTAAGTACTCAGTTTTGTGAAGCAATTGTGCCATTTCTTTGGATTACTTAAGGTGTTGATAACTAGCTGAATCGATGACCAAATGTCAAAGCGAAAAAACTAACATAATTCACAACATTTCTTTTGATGTTTAATATTGCCCTCGTTTATTACAAATTAGAACGGTTATAATGTACTGATTGTACACACATATTTATCAAAAATATATTATATATACCATTATATGTCACTAAGACAAACGATTATAGTGTATTGTAATACACAAAATACATCTATAATTATTTCAAATGACCCTATTTTATTATTATCTTCTGACACTTTATATAGCTGTAATCACTTGACATTATAGAACATATTTTACTCTGTGGTCTGTGAAGCTGTAATAAAATATTATGTTGTGTACATAAATAATGATAGTAACAATAATGAGAAAAAATGCTTGTAAAATGTTATAATTAGTAGTAGTACTAACAGTACACGATTAAGTTGAACTATATTTGATAAATAATAGTACCTATTAGTGTTTTTTTAAATTATATGTACATACTAGTATATACCTATGCGAAACGAGTGTAATCTACATTAGATTAAACGGGTTATAGATCAGAGATTAGGCAAATAATTATTGGGAAATTTCTTTTATTTCCCGGTACTTAGATGCTGCGACGTAATGACCAATGATCAAAATTACTTATTTAAAACTTCCTTTTTGTTCTACAGAGCACAGTGGATTATGTACTAGTTTTACAAGTTAAATGTATTTGTTGGTTTACTTTTGGTTATACCGACAATTCTAATTCGTCTTACATTTAAGACTGATTAATGTTGTACAAACGGTAGATAATATAATCGGTAAAGGTCAGTAGAATCTATTATTCTCATTGTCAGTATGCAGCCGCCAGTCTCGATGCCTCTGGTAAGAAGTACGATAAAAATATATTATACTAAATATACACTGTATATGTTTTATACTATTGTATTTATACTATTTGCCTATGATTAGAATAAAAAGAACTTTGTTGTGTTTTGTTTGGCTTTCTTACTTAATGCGCATAATATTTTATTGTTGGTTTTTAAATGCATCAAACAAAATCGATACGCGTACAACATGATTTATTTATATAATATTTAACAAATTCAAATATGTAATAATTTATTTAATTATTTACATTTCTCATATTCGATAAAAAAAAACCGTTTAAATCATTACTGATAAAAGTGTATCTAAATGAACACAGTAGAGCTGTGTTGGGAAATCAAATTCAAAACCGTTTAGAAGTCGTTGTATATCTATTACCATTGATTATACATGTACTACTTATTATTGTATCAATCAATGCTTTCACTGTTCACATATTTGTTCTGTTCTATTGTAAGTTCTAGAAGTTCGCTTATCTTAACTGTTAAAAATGAAACTTATTGGACTTTGGCCAATTTGTATAGACACAAGACCGATGTGTACCTTTGGTATGCGTTAATCATATTTGTTTTATTACTTTGTTGGAAAATTAATTACCCAACTGAAATTGATTTAGTAAATAATATTGGCACATCATACCTACTAAATTATGGTCATATCACGGTATACCTATCTACCTACACGAATAAGTAATAACAATATAATAAATAAAATACAAAATTATTACAAAAAAAAGAAATTACTAATAGAACAGCAGTGTGCTATAACAAAAACGCAATAAAGCTCGTGCCAAAGAACGTCAAATATTATCTATGTAAATTCTATCAATAGGTTAGTATAGCGATTTTTACATAATAATAAATTTATTTAAATATGTCTAAATAAACTCAAAAGTTACATATTATTTTGTATAATGTTAACCGTTATGAATGTTGCAACGAGTAGCTGTATGCTTTACAATGCTGCAAAATATTCTGTAACAATTCGTTTATCATTACCAATGAATAAATAACACAATAGAGTGTTTATAAGATGGTTTTTTGATTGATTTGCTTTTTAGTGTTTATTTTTAATAAATAACATTCACACTGAAAAACGGGTAACTAACTGAATTGTACAAAATGTACGATTCGAGACATACAAAATTGCTTAAGACCAAAATATTGACATTTTCTAAAATTCTAATGTTTTTCTGTTGTTGTACTGTGGATATTCGTTTGTTTTTACCATGCAAATATGAATAATAGACAAAAAATCATTCTATGCTGTGGCTGTACAATATTTTAAATTATTTTTACCTATACATAATTTCTACACAGATCGGCAGATTAGAGCTAAATTAAATTAAATACATATTATATTATGTGATATTGTTCTTTGACAATACAATTTCGAGTTTTCTATACTTAAAAACCAATTTAGAACAAATGACAATACTATGATACCTAATGAGACCAGAGGCCGATGTCGCTGTAGAAGACAAAATATTTGAATTGGACGTTGTCTACAACGCAGCTTGACCAACGGGAAAAAGTGAGTTTTACAAAATATAAAATTGTATAAATTATAATAATAATACATGAACAAAGTCGTTATTATTATTATACTTAATGTGTTGGCCTGATACGGTGAACTTATCATACAGGGTGATTGTGGTCGAGTTGCTCATTTTCTCCAAAAATAATTGCAACTTTTTTATACTCTTTATAGACAGTCTTTAGTTTATGCTATGTTACATTATTAGACAATATTCAAACTTTCACATTTTTAGCGAATTATTCGTAATCTAAAAAGATAATTAATTACAAACGTTACCATATCAAGTAACTAACTGGTATTTTCATTGCTGGATAGTACTCTATAAGGTAAATATTTAGTAATTTATCTATACCTACAAAGTTGTTGTCGTGGAATTAACCTGTACACGTACATACATATAAAACACAGGAGTGTATATATTTTTAGTGTGAGCAAGCAATAAGAAGCCTAGAAAAATAAATCAATATTGTTGAGATTTGACCCTGGCAAGTTCTTGGGATTTAATGGTAGACGAATAAACAGTGATTAGTGGACATTATATTATACCTAAACAATAAGCCACTGCAGTGGTTGTCACAAACGCATTTCATTCTTTTATATTTTACAATACATCTTGAAATGTGTCGGCAAGTCTAAATTGTATTAATTTTCTTTAGGCTAAACAAGATTAATTCGAAAACGTTCCACTTCCCCTTTTTCACTAATGTCAAAACGTGCTGTTTGAGCTCGAATAAGCAAAATATATTAAAACCGTAAGTTCAAAAACGATTATTTAGTACCTATGAAGTTGGAAATTTCAATAGTAATAAGCAGCCAACCAATTACCAAATTATGGCTGATCCTGTTAGAACTTGGAGCCGTTTAGGACAGTAATTTATTGATGGGTCTTTGACCTTGCTCAGGACCGCGGTTGGCCGTTGTAGTCATGGAACAGCTGATATCATTCTTGTTATCAGTCTGTTATCACATAAACCGTGCCCACTTAACGAAACCTGATATTTGTTTTATCAATGCTACAAATTACAATTAGCCTAGTAAAGACTAAAGCTGTTAATCTACCAAAGCTACCTTTACGTAATTTTTATTTTTTTTCTTCTTTTTAAAACCAAAAGTTTCCGATTTTAGTACTTACACGTTCGTTTTATAGTTCTATTACATTTTCTATTAAAAAAATCAACATAGTGTACTTATTTATTTAAAACTAGTAATGCGTGTTACTTGTTAGAAATTCGTTCTATCTGAAATAAATATTACATTATCGAAACTGATACAAAAGTAAGTAACATTGCTTTTTATTGTAAGATACTACTCTTACTTGTACAACACGTGCTTGATTTCATACACAATGTATTTTTTCTTGTGTTATTGAAATACTCTAACAAAGTTCATTAAAAATTCATAAGAAATACTCCAATCGAAAACAGTTTCACTTATTAGAAAAAAATAATTGTTACCTATATATGTTTAAAACATTTTTTTTTCATCACCTGAGTATGCTGAATACTCAGGCTAAATTGAAAGATAAATTAAAAATAATTAATAAAAAAAATTATTTTACAGAATTAATTAAATGACAAATGATTAAATATTGTCTAGTAATATTAAGATTACGCAAGTCCTCCGTGCGTCAGTAATTTTTTCATATTCTGATTAATTGAAGGGCTTAACCTTTAGTTTTAATGACACGTGTAAAAGTATATTGACATTAGTGAATTATGATGTAAGACTATTTGATAAAGCAATTTGCTAGTCTAAGTAACAGAAAACAATTTCATTTTTATACTATTTTTTAAGCTTAAAGTTTATACTGTAAACCATAAATCTATATTGTTAAAGTTGACAGGTGCTTATAATAATAAGTGGATTAAATGCCTACACAATCAATATGGTACCAGATAGTGCCTGCCGCAAACACAATTCAATAATACTATGTCATTGCTATTATGTACAATGTTACAGGGTTCGATTGACTATTGTCGGCAACCAAACTCACGTTTTCTAATGGATCTCAATGACGAAGATGGAATCTGGGATAGCGTGCTACTCGATCCACTGACTGAAGAAACGTTTATCTCGAATTTGTCTTGCAGATATAATTCAAATACTATTTATGTGAGTGTGTAAACATTTTAAAACATTTATTATTTAACAATGTTCTATCCATTATTCTGATTGAGAACATTTTTATTGTCACTTGGTTTAATCTGTGAACCGATTTAAATGATTTACGCTTAAAATTGTAACTTTTAATATATTGCAGACTTATATGGGAAATATGCTCATTGCCGTCAATCCTCACAAGGAAGTACAACAAATGTCCACGTTGTTATGTCAAACGTACATGTCGCCGAGATCGGGCCATTTGCCGCCACACTTGTAATTTTAAATTGAACGCACGCCTTGAATATTATTTCATATTGCAATTGCATATTTCAGATTTGCCATAGCTGGTTGGTGCGTACGATGGTTGGTGGACGCGGCCCAAGATCAGTGGATTGTATTACAAGGCGTATCCGGTTCTGGCAAAAGCTATTGTACGTCAATGTTGCTGCAGTGTTTATGCAAGTACAACGATAATAACAAAGTGCTCAATCAACGGTTATTGAACTCCAACATTTTACTGCAATGTAAGAAAACTTAGTTTAGACATAAAAAATTTTCAATAAAACTTGTAATATTAAAATTTTTCTTTTAGCTTTTGGAAACGCCAAAACACATATTCATAGAGATGCATCTCGTTTTGTAAGTAATGTCAACGGTGATAATGATGAAAATTGCAAACAGCTAATTGTTGTTTAAAAAGTGTACTATAATATAAAAATGTTTGTTGCTTAGATAAAACACATAGACTTGGAAATGAACTTTAAAGGAAATATCTTGGGAGCGACCTTTTCTGGATGTAAGTAGAAAAACATAATAATTTATTACGTAGGACTGTCTGTTTAAAAAAAAAAAAAATATTATAACCTATTATATTATATTGTGTTGCAATCAGACTTGTTGGATAAAGTAAGCTAACACTCATATTGGTATACTATACAAATAAATTTAGTTAATACTCTAATTTTCCATGACGGCAAACATTATTTTAAATATTTTACAAGTGGTAAAGAAATAAACATAACTGCTTTTAATAATCATGTTTTTAGTCTAGAGTAACATCACAAAATGCATTGAATAGGAATTTTCATTTATTTTATCAACTGATTTACGGCGCTGATATTCATTTGTTAAGTAAGTGAATAAAAGTAAAATACTTAAGCGTGTTACTATAATATAGTCTGATAATAATTTTTTGTTTTCAGAGTCGTTGAAACTTACTAGAAACTCGGAAAACTATGTTTATTTGAAATGTAGTAATCGTCTGAGGCAATTGGATATTGTTAATTTTCAATCGGCATATCATTCGACAAAGGTAAGGGCTGAACGTTAATCATTGATTAGGTGCTTAAATGTATTGGCCAATTTTGTTTAAAACAATTTTTATTGATGGCGCAGTGTGCATTTGAGTTGTTGGGAATTTCTGAATTAGATGTAATCAGCGTTTTCAAAATAGTTAGCAGCATATTAAAGCTGGGCAATTTGACAATAGTGCCGACCAATAATATCGACGGAACCGAAGGCTGCATCATCACCAACGATTACGGTATGTTTTTTAATTAATTGACGTGTTGTTTATTTTGAATATCAAATGCGTTTCAATTCCAATTTATTTAAAAATTTTCTTCCATTTAAAAATAATTATTGTTTTGGGTAAAAAACGATTAACAATAATCATGTCAGACATAAACATTAGATATTGAATAACATTTTTATTAAAAAAAAAAAAAAAAATTAAAAAAATGATTTAAGTATAACTGAATTAACAAAAAAAATTTTATTTTTAAAAATATTACTGTAGCTATCAATTCAAATCAATTTTTTATAAAAATTGAAATAATTATAAAAAAAAAACGAGGTGTATAATTATAATTATAAAAAAATAAAGTAGAATGTGCATTTCACCGGACCTACCTACCGGTACGTATTTTGGTGCGCTGAATCCGAATTCAAGGTCGGTTTGACCCCTACACCCTCGAAATTTCGAGAAAACTTCGAAAAACCGCAAAAATGATGAAAATCGGCAGTTTTAATGATAAAAAAATTTTTTGGAACTAAACTAAGCGTGATTTTCATGTATTTCGATCCGCTGAATATGAATCGAAACTTTATTGAGACCACGAGCCGTTTTAAATGTGAAAAAATCACACAAAACTCTCGAAAATTCCGAAAAAATATAGTTTTCATGATAAAAAAAACTTCTTCTGGTCCAATTCAAATAAAATTTTATATCTTTTGATGTCTTCAATTCGCATCTTAATTTTTTTAGTCTATTCACCCTCTAGAGCTGGAAAGTTCAAAAAAATTGTAAAAAAGACCATTCATAACAGAAAAAAAATAGATTGAACATGATTTAATGCCTAAAATAAAAACTCTATAACGTAGATAAATCAAATAACTTGAAATCTGTGAAAAACACAAGACATAAAAAGATAGAAAGAAATGATTTTTACGAATCCTAAACTTTCCTTCGTTTGTATCGCACTCTTTTATCCTCAAATGATCTTCGTAGTGGATTCCTCTTTCGTTTACGATTTTGCCTCTTTTTCGGAATTTTCGAGAGTTTTGTGTGATTTTTTCACATATAAAACGGCTCGTGGTCTCAATAAAGTTTCGATTCATATTCAGCGGATCGAAATACATGAAAATCACGCTTAGTTTAGTTCCAAAAAATTTTTTTATCATTAAAACTGCCGATTTTCATCATTTTTGCGGTTTTTCGAAGTTTTCTCGAAATTTCGAGGGTGTAGGGGTCAAACTGACCTTGAATTCGGATTCAGCGCACCAAAATACGTACCCGTAGGTAGGTCCGGTGAAATGCACATTCTACTTTATTTTTTTTGTGTGCCGGTGTTATTAAATAAAATACATTTTTAAAGTTATTATTTAATATATTTAACAAAAAAATATGTATTAATAAAATAGTCTTTGAAGTTGACACTAATAAATTATTTGAAAGAGTAAATAGAACTTTATTTGAGTTATAATATGAATTGATGCACTAAAAATAGGTACTTAATAATTCATTTGTTTATTTTGATTAAAAAAAAAAATTATCTAGGCCAGTTTAGCATACATTATCGTTTGTTTTCAGAGCTTTACGAGTTAGGTGAACTGTTAGGCATGGACGGAGAGACTTTGAACAAGGCACTGACGTCATCGTCGAGTTTGCTGTCTGAAATGTCGGCTAAGGAGGCTCGCAACGCCAAAGACCATTTGGCACAGTCTTTGTATTCTAGATTGTTTTCGTGGCTTGTATGGAGAATAAACCAGTGTATCAAAGCCGAAGCGAAATATAAACGGAGGCATTTAGGAATATTGGACGCGTTTGGCTGTGACTATTCCGACAGTAAAATGGATTGGGATAGTTTTGTAGTGAATTCTTGTACGGATAAAATCCACAATATAGTATTGTCGACAACGCTGAAAGAAGAACAACAAGAATATGCGATAGAGCGATTACACTGGTGTCTAATTCCATTTTACGACAACACTTTGGTTTGCGAATTGATATACAAGGTAAGTCATTTGGGCTTTTCGTGTGTGTGTTTCAACTGCTGACTTAAATTCATAATTTGTAAAATGTAGACCGAAGGCGGATTGTTAAGTACTTTGGACGAATTCATCACTGACAACAATAGCCTAACAATTTTGAAAAGAATATACGCTCTACAACAACTATCCGAGTCGTCGTCTGATGACGGAATTCACACCAGGATGGAGCAAATATCGTTATACGATTGTTTTACGTAAGATGAAACATTATTCTTCATGTTTGATATGCCTAACAAATTAAAGACAATCAAATACATTGTGTATTAATTGTAAAATAATTTAAGGTTGAATCATTTTATCGGACCGGTCAAGTATAACGTCAACACTTTTGTGGAAAAAAATAAAAACGTTTTAAGCCCGACGTTGTGTTGTGCCATGTTTAACGGCACGCATCCATTATTAAAGGAGTTGTTCCCGGAAGGTAATAATTGAAAATGCTCAACTCTGACTGCGTGCAACTATTGTCGTTTGTCATTAACTTAACACGGAAAACATAGTATCCGACTTGTCTACAACACACATGAAAATAATATGCTTCCAGGAAATCCAGAACGAGTGACTGCGTTTACAGTTTCAAATCCAGCCAGCCAACTACGGGTGTGGGCCGAAGCCTTTACGGCGACATTGTCTAGTCGTCACTTGCATTACGTCACGTGTTTGTCTCCTAATCGTCATTGCCAGACCAATTCATTCGATGCTTCTTTTGTGAAACAACAAATAAGATGGTTCAGGTAATTCACCGATTCTATTTGAAAAAAAATTGTAATTAAAGTTTCAATCATTTTTTTTTAAATTTTCAGTTTGGTGGAAATCGTACGGTTGCGTAGGGCTGGTTTCTGTTATCGCCTTACGTTTGAAGAGTTTTTGAATCGTTACAAAATGCTCAGTCCGTCGACGTGGCCAAGGCCTAGATTTGGAAACACGGCCAAATCTATACGGTCGTTGGTCGTGTGCCTACCAATACCTTGTGGAGAGTTTGTTTACGGAGTGACCAAAGTTTTCGTGAGATCTCCGAGGTCTGTATGGGAGTTAGAGCAGTTAAGAGCAGAGCGTTTGAATCAGTTGGCCGCTTTAGTCCAGGAAGCGTGGCATAAATTCAAACGACACAAAACGCCTTGCAATCCGACGAAAATCTACCGAAATTATAAGTAATTGCCAACATCATACGTCTAGTAGGTTGTGTTCATGTTGAGCTTAAGCTTTATTTTTAATAGGATGACTGACACCGTTTTGGCCGCCAAATGTATTTGCAGAACTTTTTTGACTTGGCAGGTGAGTCAACTTAATGTTCTAACGTTTTAAAAAAAGAAAATATTTAAACTTTTTTTTTCTCATAAAACAGAAGCGACAATATTTATTTAAGTTGTCAAAATGCTTGAATCATTCAATGGAGTCGCCTACTAGCAGATCTTGGGTGCCGTTGACCAATTCTCGGTTTGCGCACACTCACTATTTGTTAGAAACTCTTCACCACAAATGGAGGGTGATTTGAACACTTTTATTTCCAAATAATTTTTGTCTTTAAAATTATAGGTCGGCGTTAAAATATAACACAATTATTGTCAATTTTACAGTGTCGTAAATACCGAGACAAATTGGATCAAACTTCGAGGAATCGCATGCGAGAAAAAGTCACCGCCAGCATATTGTTTAAAAACCGAAAAGCAAGTTATTCTCACAGTGTCGCTCATCCGTTCACCGGCGACTACGTACGTCTGCGGCAACACGTACAGTGGAAGAAAACCGCCTTGCAGTACGGCGACCAGCACGTCGTGTTTGCAGACATTGTCAATAAAATTACAAGAAGTAGCGGCAAGGTAATGGCTTGTCGACTCTTGAGAAAGAAAAACAAAATTCTGACCAGATTTATATTTCAGTTTGTGCCGACTCTTCTCGTGATCTCAACAAAGTCCATGTTGATATTGGATCAGAGAACGTTACAAGTGAAATATCGAGTGCCGGCGGCCGATATTTATCAGCTATCATTGTCACCTTTTTTGGACAATGTCGCTGTTTTTCATATCAAATCCGTAAGTTTTTTTTCTGTAGCTGTGTTCAAGGTGCGATTTTACACAAAAAACATAGAGTAAATATGAGACATGGGTTTTAGAATAATTTTTAAAGTGATCTCATGAAGCACCTTTTTGAGTGGTTTTTCATTAGCCAAGTTTATCTTACAAAACAAATAATAGTTTCGTCAAAAATAAATTAATGTTAAAAAAAAAAATATGTATAATTTTATGTAATAACTAATAGGCGTACGTGAGGTGTTCTGAAGAAGAGGACGAAAACGAAGAAGAGGACGACGTTACTGGAGAATGGTCTCCCACACCCAGCGGATGTTTGTTCCATCAGGGATCTATTGCCGCCGGTCCGTCCAACAGTACATACAAGAAAAAAGGAGATTTTGTTCTTCAAACGAGTCACGTCATAGAAGTGGTGACCAAGTTGTTTTTAGTAATCCAAAACGTCTCTGGGACTTCGCCCGACGTTAACATATCCACTAGGTATAGTTCATATTAATATTTATTAAGAGCATTGAAAGCGGTTGGTTTTATTTTTGACGTTTTACACCTAAAGCCTGACAAAATGACCCCTATTTTATCGTCCTCTTTTTTAGGGTTTTGTGGGAATCGATTGTTGATAAATTGTGTTCAAACTTAAAATCATATTTGAATTTTTCAAATTTCTCACATTTTTAGTGTTTCAATAACCTGGGAAAAAGGTCGATGAGCTTAAATATTTTTTACAGAACTAAAATCTATAATTTTAAGTGAGCGTTATTTTGTCAGGTTTTAAGAACAAAATGGCTTCTACTCATAGAAAAAATTGTGTATAAGACAAAATTTATACCCTAAAGCTTATACAAATTATATTTTAAATTTTTTTATAGTTTTTTCTAAAAAATCTAAATTATTTTCTAATAGCTAAATCTAAAATCAGCATTTAAGACCCCACAGAAAGAAATAGTAAGTTACAGAAAATGACTTCTACAAAAGTAATTTATTATCAAACTTATTCGACAAATTGGAAAAAAATAACTTCAATTAATAGAAAAACTTAATATATTTTTTACCTTAAAATTAGTTAAAAATAGCTACTAGATAAATTTTTGTCAAAAATTGCCTATCCTTTGCTCTCTCATAAATAAATAGCCTTTTATGTTCCACTTTAAAACCACATTTTTTCTTAATATACATGTATAACCTCCTAAAAACTGTTCGCTTTCGATCTTCTTAAAAAAAGTTTTTTTAAAAGATATTTTTTTATAGTTTGATTTTGAAAATAAATTATAATTTCAAATAATATATTATTATTTTATTTTTAATTATATATATATATATTTTTTTTTATCCAAAGCTTTATTAATGCCTAAAAACATAAAATTACATAATTTGTTGTTCGGGTTGCAGGTTAGAGGCAAATTTTGGCGATCAAACAGTCGTAATATCGTTCAAGTATTTAGGCATGCCCGAAGTGGCTCCGGGCCAAATAAAAATTGTTCGTAAAACCAATAAGATGGAGATTTTTGTTTGAGAAAACCAAAATGTCAAACGTATCTACGTGCCTTAAACCCGAGGGCTGTCACTGCCATTTTGTTGTACGTAAAAATTTTTGTAGGAATTTTTTTTTTTGTGTTTATAATTGTATGTTTTATTTTTTAGGTCCCGTTCATATAAATCCTGTTCAGTATACAATTGTTCTGAGAAACATTGATCAATATTATGAAAATTATCACATCATTTTTTTGTTTATTTTATTAGCGATCATTGCACTTGTTGGATATTATATTTATTAATTATTATTGTTGTCTTTTGTTATTTTTATGAAAAGAAACTAACTGTTATACCGAAATATATAATATATTATACTACCTATCTAGTTAATAATTTTACAGTTATCAATCAAAAAAAAAAAAACTGTTTATAAAATTAAATTTGTATTTCACCACAATCGGACAATCGTTTAACCTAACCGAGCCGCATCATGTCTGTCGTCAACGGTAATAGTGCTACAGACTTTGCAGATGTGTTTTAAAAATGATGTACCATTATAATATTATTATGCTAATATACCTGTGTTCATTATTTTTTGTTATAAATGTATAATATATATAAATTTATTTCCTTCGTTCCACAGCAATTGCAGTCTAACGCCAACATTATATTTCATACATTTATTTTTTATAATATCAATTTGTATTTGTAATTTGGTCAATTATACCTTACAAACCGTGCTATGATTTAATAACCAAAATTCTAAAACCGTTCCATCATACAGTACGCCTAATGACCATTTATCGACTAACAATGTAATGTTCTAACATCATATTTTAAACGTGCCCAGTGTATTGTGATTTAGTTTGTATACTGATGTGTGAACTAAATTGTATGCAATATGTTATATAATATTGTTTAAAATATCAAATAATAATTAATATAGTTTTGTGTTTAAATAAGTAAAATAACAATGCCCTGTCCGCCAACGACCATACCACGTTGAATACACCAGTTCTCGTCCGATCACTGAAGTTAAGCAACGTCGGGCGTAGTTAGTACTTGGATGGGTGACCGCTTGGGAACACTACGTGCCGTTGGCATACTTTTTTGCATTTTTCCCCCAAATATTTTTGTGCCTTTTTGTTGTATAAAATTACATTTATAACAATTATAACTATAATAATAACTAATAAATCAATTACAATGCATAAAGTCATACATTTTCTTTTGTAGTTTAGAGGTTGAGATAATAAGACTAATGTTTTAATTAACAATGCTGGGTGATACGTACCGTCTAGTTTTAAAAGGGGACATTACACAGGGGACAGGACACACTTACATTATTTTAATTAGAAAAAACTAGATCCAGCATTGAACCAAAGCGGTTATAAACTAAATATTATGCTGTGTTAAGTTCAAATACGAAAAAGACTGCTTAACACATTCGAATCGAAATTGATTACATTAGATAAATTAGGAATGACATTATTATTTACAGAAATTTATTTAATATTTGGGAGATTATAGTCACCTAATGTTAAAAATTTAGATTGACATTTATTGTGCATGAGATTATCAATGGCATCAAAAGTGTATAGTGCAGACTAGCAGTAAATACACGTGAATGTAAACCCATGAGAAAGTATACTATGAAAACTTTCGGAGCTGCATATACATATTGTGTAGAGTGTCAATTTTTATATGTACACATAATATTTTTTAGATGTAAACACACAAGTGTTTTTGTTGGTTCAAGACACAAATATTTTACGAGTTTTACATAAGTTTAACAAAAACACATTGTTCGCTATGTCCATCCGAGTAGGTACTATGGCGCTCTTTAAGATGAAGTACTTTATATGGCTTTTTGCCTTTTATACTCTAATTGAACTCTCTCATTCCGCCGACGAAGAGACAAAAGCTTATATCGCATGGGCTAAGAAGATGGAACGAGGATGTTATAGCGGCCCTTTTAAAATAAGGACGTGTAGAAACAAATTAGATGATTACAAGAAATTATTTTACAAAGACATTTGGTGTGGCTACGCGGTTACTGCTGTCGTCCAAATGGAGTTAACAGAAACATTTTTGGTGTACGATCGAGAATTATTAAGTGCGACCGAAATAGAGAATTTTCTTGTATTTACAAACGAAGCTAGTCTAATGTTAACTGTTGGATTAAACGAGAATCACGAAGACAGCCGGCATATTGTCATTGTGGAATTAATGTGGATCTTTCGTATATACACTCAACTTGTAAGCGATTTCATACTGCTCGATCTTCAAAAAGAAACCCATAAAACCGTGGTTCAAGCTCATAAGGTCGTAGTACAATTGTTCAAGGAGTTTATAAAAACACAGAAATGCAAAGTGTTCCATCCACTTACTCATAGAGAAGTATCCGTTGGAAAATTAGTCGAAAAAAATCCTTTGATGACGTTCATAAAACGGTGGCAAGTCAGGTAATAAAATTTTATATTAACAAGCAACGAATCAATAAACAGATTGAACATAACTACGGATTAGACAACAGATTTGGCAGCGGACTAGGTAAGGATTGTTTCAAACAGTATTCTTTGAATAATTTGCTCTTGAACCATCTATTGGAAAACGACTACAGTAATATTATAAAATTCGAAACATTTGGTATTCAGTTGGACTTGAATCCTATAGCGGATCAACTTAGAAAATGGTACTTCCTCGGATACGACCTTAACAACCCTCTGTGCTTACGTATCGATTCACTAATTAAATTTCAGAAAAATATTGAGCATTTGTTGAAGGTGATCGCTATTCGACTGATAATGAGATACTTGTTGAAAATCAAGCGAATGGATGACCAAACATTAAAAGACCATGTGCATGTCAAACTATGCAATGACAAAATGATCGAACATTTTAACTCGTTTGCTGAACTTTTCAATATGACTGACGACGAATACTTCCATTCGGCAATCGGTTTGATGGGAAATCCACCTGAAAATTTCTCTGATCGCAGTGTTATCGATGAGTATGTGAAAAAATTGAGAACATCATTGACAAACATGGCTTTAGACGATATTCATTTCGACACCCCGATGGACGTAGATGAAGAAAACAGTAGTTCAACTATGGAAAATGTAAAAAAGTTCGCTAATTTACGTGGATTTTCTATACCTCAAGAAACCATTATGGATTCACTAAAAGAAAACCTAGTCGGTGCTAAAGTTTTAGTAGATTACGTACAGTATATCTTACACGGGATCGACATTACTGCAGTGAAGTCATTAACAATGCTCGAAAATTCTGAGAGTTATAATCGCTTAAAAAAACTGGAAATTGGTTATAAGAAGATCCGATAGTTGCATAAGTGTTTCACTACTATGTTTGATTTTTTTAACGTTTATTTTATGTGAATAACAATGTATTTTTTGATAAAGCTATAATTACATAAGACATTGGGATTAAGGAATATTATAGAATAAGTTTGGGCTTTTAAAATTATTTACAAACATTTTACGGGAATTCGATAAAAAAAATATTATTATTATAAAAATGGCGTGTCTTTATTTCCTGTTTTACAATTACATAGGGCATTGGTATTTAAAAAATATTATAGAATAAGTTTGGGTTTTTGCATTTATTTATTGGGAATTAAATAAATAAAAGAATAAGTATTATTATTAAAAAAAAATGGTGTATCTTATTTTTCTGCTTTACCTTATTCCATACAAATACCTCTGTACAAAAAATAATATGGTCTAATCTAAATTTCAAAAATGCTTCATGGATATGTCAATTAAGTAGTGATCCGATATGGTTAGTATTCAGACGTAAGATTTAATGGAAATTTTAAGTTAAAATTATGGCAATGAGTTCATCTTACAGGGACGCCCGATTGAGGTTTGAAGCATTTGTTTTATTATTTTGTTTTTTGCAATATAATATTTATTTATTTATTGTTGGTATTAGATTAATGTATTACTAATTATAATTAAAAACAAAATGCGCAATCCGCCTAACCTAAAATATCGGATTCATTCTTCTTCTTAAAGCTGAGAAATTCTACTAAAAGGTGTGTGCAATCGGTAAATATAACTATAAATAATTAGATATTTAAGGTCCATATAATTTTAAAGTAAAATATTGGTTAGGCCAGGTCAATTTGGTCGGCAATAGACTCCCTGTGGTATAGTTTTACGTCTCTGTAAGGCAAGACTACTATTTAGATAAATAATAATAATGATAAAACCATATAATATTTTCTAAACGGTTTATAAAAGAATTTAAAAAAGTAAAGTAAAATTATTCTTGGTCGAATGTGGTAATTCGTAGGTACGACGAGGCCAATAATTACAGTAATATGAATAAAAATAAAATACATCACAATAACAATAACTTTTTATTTTATGTTAACCATTATTTGATTAGTTTACATGATAAGTATTGACTACTGGCCATACTGAAAAGAATCTGAAAAATATAAAACAGAGACCGTTTGTTTTCGGTCCGACCGTCTATAGTTAGTTCAGATAAAACAAACTAATTAGGAAGTTATCAATTAAAGGATCGTTTTTTACTGTTTGTAAATAAATTACTATTTTTTTCGCAATAAAGATTTTTAAAAATACAGCTGTCCTAATGTTAAATGATTACTATATAACCTAACGGGAGACGTATCCTTCTGATTTTTCCCAATTATTTTTCTACATTTATTATATGTCTATGCAAATTCGGGTGACAGGATCATTGTTTGTAATAATTTCAATAGATTAAATCCTAATTTATCTCATTTAATTATTATACAGAGATTTAATGTTCATATGTTGAATCACTAAATAAAAAGTAATGTAGAATATATTTATGTAGTGAGAGAGCCAGAGTGGACTGGAGAAAAATAACATGACTGGCCGAACACATTAAATACGATTTATATAAGTATAATTATAAAGCTAAGTTTTTTTCTGTGTGTTATTATGACTATTGACTTCTATGTTATTTCGATGAGAACTTAATGTAAAAAAGACGCAAAAAAAATATTACCGACCGTGTGTTGGTTACACACTTGTCGTTTATTGTAGTATACTAGCGCATTTCATACAACCAAAATTCAGAGTACAAAATAAAACCTACACATTACCAATTGGAAACCCAAATTTGGGCCTCTGGTTAAAGAATACACGTTGGAATAAAAATGTTTTACTTTTCTAGATACAAAAAAAAAGACTGTAGTAACATATTGTATTATATATAAATATATTTTTCAACATATTATTGAGTATTAAATTCTAAAATTGTTCATGGGCTTGTGTATTGATTCAGAGAAGTGTTTTGTGTGGGCTATTACTCATTTGTTGTTCACACCGAACGGAACTAAACAAATAAGACATGAAAAACAATGAAAAATAATAGTGTGTTTTTACAAAATTTAGGTACATTTGCCTTTTCTGCATATTATTGTAACTTTTATGGTATTTCATAGGCTTTATAACTTAGCTAAAAATTTTATTTAATCAAAAATCGCCCATGTCAAAACCAAGTCTTGATCTTTAATTTTGTATAGATGTACTTTTACGCTAAACCCGCTCAGTTCTTCAGAAAAGTGTCTTGACTTGGACATGTTTTACGCGTCGAAAAAAAAAATGGGTTGACGCCCTCTTAAGAAGTAGGCTGGAGAAAAGGCTATACAATTATCGTTAATTATACAAATTATTTATGTTGTTTTTTTAGTTTTAGACACTTAAAATAATATAACTAGGTCGATATCAAAGATGTTGTTTTGGATTTATTTCTTTTTAGTGTATTCGTGCATGACTAACAGGTTACTGTTTGAATAAGCGTACAAAACATTATATCAAAATATGTTTTCTTCTTATAAATAACACAACTTAAAACGTGTTTTCAATATGTTTCTGTGTAAAAAAAATAAATAACAATGATAAAAAACCGTATAATATTTTCAAAAGCTTCTAAATGCTAAAAAAAGCAAAAATATTCGCACATAGCAATATAGAAATTGGATATGGATCTCCCCCCTTTTTTTTTGAAGTTTTCCTTAATAAAAAAAAAAAAGTTTGGGCTTATAAGGATTGGTGATACAAATTTTTAAAATATTAAAAAATGTTAAAATGTTAAAATATGCACCTAAAAGTTTAGAAAAAAAAATATTCTCAAAATATTCATATTTTCACCCTGTATAGTTTTTTGTTAAGAAGCCGTGTTAAATTACAAATTTGTTCAAAATATAATAAATACTTCAATTTCAAATTATTTAAAAAATAATTGGGAAAAATCAGAAGGATACGTCTCCCGTTAGGTTATACAGAATCCTTTAACATTAGTACAGTTGTATTTTTAAAAATCTTTATTGCGAAAAAATAGTAATTTATTTAGAAACAGTAAAAAACGATCCTTTAATTGATAACTTCCTAATTAGTTTGTTTTATCTGAACTAACTATAGACGGTCGGACCGAAAACAAATTTCAAAAAGTCTTTTTCTTTTATTTTACAGATTCTTTTCAGTATGGCCAGTAGTCAATACTTATCATGTAAACTAATCAAATAATGGTTAACATAAAATAAAAAGTTATTGTTATTGTGATATATTTTATTTTTATACTTATTACTGTAATTATTGGTCTCGGCGTACCTACGAATTACCACATTCAACCAAGAATAATTTTACTTTATTTTTGTATACTCTTTTAAACCGTTTAGAAAATATTATATGGTTTTATCATTATTATTATTTTTCATCAGCTGAACACGAAAAAATGTATATTTATTTGTAAACCGTAAAAAACGATTCTTTAATTGAATCGGTTATTTCAAAAACGACATAAGTCACCGATATTTCAATAATTACTTTTTGTCAAATTTGATAATTAAATACATAGTTACGTATTCTATGTAAAAACTACATTTACTTTATTAAATTTTGTTTTATTTTCAAAAATAATACCAGTTTGTGTAATAATATTAATAACATTTCTGTGTTCATTTATTTTATTTCTTGACCTAATTTTTGAACGATAAATGTCTATTCCCTGCAAAAGCAATGCAAGTCAAGTAGGTTTTATCTCAATTTAATGAATTATGGTCAAAGTTAGTTAGACTATTTAAAGCTATGGATTATGAATATCAGAAAACCTAAAAATTAAATTATTTAATAGGTGTGAGAACAAAATAAGTTGAATTTCTGAAGTAATGTGGTTAGTGTAAAATTTCAATTTTATGACTTTTTACTTTTTTGAAACGACCTATTCAATTCATAACTTCCTACTTAGTTTGTTTTATCTGAACTAATTGTAGACGGTCCGACCGAAAACACATTTCAACAAGGCTCTGTCTTTTTTATTTTTCAGATTCTTTTCAGTGAGGCAATACTTATTATGCAATCTAATTAAATAATAATTATTATAAAAAAAAAAAATATTGTTCGCCGTTTAATTAATATCGTGTAATTATTGAGCCATCATAAAGGCTATTAAAAAAAAAAAGTACATAGGATATATATATAATATATATATTGTACAATATAATAAAATGTGCTTAGATTTTACAGAAGAAAAAAAATCAATTTTACAGCAAATTCTTCAGTCTGTCGTTGTTTCGGTAACTGTTGCCGAAGACTCTTGGAGCCTTTTATTTTCTTCGGTGAGTATGTTGAACCTTTCGTCGTACTTGACACGCATTTTTTCAAAACGTTCCGACTGTAGTTTGTATTCAGTTCTGAGTTCGTCGTTTAATCTGAAACGTTTTTTCCCCCCAAAATTGTGGTTTTATTAATAATGCCTCAATTCAATTTTAAAGATATGTTTAAAAAAAAAACAGTTTAAACCTTAAAATCCACGTGTGATAAATGGGATTAAACGATTTCTGGTGTCAGCCCAAATTAGCATAACTTAATATTGTCTCTTTGTGGACAAACATTTCACTTGAAATGGCTGGTTTTTTGTCAACTAAAATGTTGTCATATCGATTATGCAAGTCAATGAAAAGTATGTGCGAAAGTGGACAACCCGGAAAACATATTGTTATTAGTTTTCAGTATAATTTTTTTATGTTACCTTAATTTAAAACTGTCCTATAATATAGTAATGCAGTTAATTCAAATAACTAGTATGTTTAATCTATGTATAAAAAAAAATTGATAAAATTTAAAAAATTAAAAAAAAAATGGGCATTGAAGGGTAGTAGTAAGTTGGATTTTAACTAAACCAGTAGGCAACAAATCGATGGCTGTGTATAAGTTTTATTATATATTGTTGTAACATGTACATTAATGATGAAAACCGATAAGTAATAAATTTACAAGACTTCTTAAGAGTTATAAAAATTAACACAACACTATTTTTTTAAATTGAACGATTTTTACACGTTCTGATGAGTTAATTGCATAGGCGTAACCAAGTTTTAATCAGACATTATGTTCAGAAAACAAATTCAAAGTTGTCGTTCGGTAACGTATTTAGGTTTAAAAAGTTTTCTTGCGCGCTATCGGAATAATTGGTTTTACCAGATACCTGGTTCTATATTTTGTGGTTATACCGCGGGCGGTAACACAGATAATATCTGACGTGTTGACAACGATAATAATCTTTGGTTCCTCGATGGTAACCGTCTGGTAACCAGGTATCTAGGAACAAGGATCTATTCGGCGCGCAAACCCAACTTGAAATCGATCAATTTCAAAATGTCGGCAAACCGCATTTACGAGTTTCCTATAGTTTGCGACTTTTGCATTTTTAAAACCTATTGTTTTTTAACTTTACTAGCGCTTACTTGGCAGCTTGGTTCATTTTGTCGATAATGGCGCTGTGCCGGGTCCTCTCGTCGTTGATTTTCGACTGTAGACTTTCCAGGTCTTCCGACATGCGGCTCACTTCGGTGTTGCGTATCTCCAACATGTGCTTGGTGATCTGCACGACTTCCTTGAGCGACTTTGCCTGTAAGTATAAAACCACCGAGATGTTTCAAATTCACCGCTTTGGTAACGTTGGCCCTGGTAAGTAAGTAAGTCAATTATAGTAGTTAAAGGTGATCATATACTTGCAACGTGAGCGCTTCCACGTGTTTCTCCTGTGTCGTGCACCTGTCGGTTTTTTCTTTTAACAAGTCAATGACTTTGACCAAAAACTTTTGCAGGTTCCTGTTTTGCCTCTTCAGGTCTTCCGGCGACATTTGAGACACGTCCTTCAACACTTCGCCGACGTCTCCCATGTCCTGTCCCGAATGAGATAATGATTATTGTTTTTCAAATAATATTTTCACGCCGGAGAGTAAATACTTGTCAAAAATAATATACTTAACAATACAATTTAATGCCGTTAAGTATTAAATAAATTAAAAAATTAAAAAACAAGTAATAGTTTATTTAATACATATTTTTGTGGTTTCGCATGATGCAAAAGCGAATGAAAGTTTTTTTTACATAATATGTAATTTTCAATAGACATAATTATTAACGCATCAAACCTATATTTAATTAGTGCTAATTATAAAAAATCAGCGTTCTGCTACACAATTTGTCAGATACAATTATTTAATGAAACACTGTTCAATGTCAGTTTTAAAGTAAAAAAAAAAAATTGTAATCGATAAAAAACCAATTAGGATATAAGTATTTAGTTTTTTGTCAAGTTTGTAAGTACATTTTCTATAACAGCTAAGAAAATATCAACTTCAAACATTTTCTCCCTCTCAAAGACCAAAGTAGTTTAATTTTCATGTCGAATAAAAGAAAAAAAAAATCCTTTTACCCAAGTCTTCATAATTATCCTTAATTTTTGCATTTCTTCATATTCAATATGTAAGTTTATTTCTTTCATGAAATAATAATTGTTGTAAAAAATAAATAAGGTCACAACTAGACAGAAAATCCAACCTAGGTTTTTGCAATTTTTCACAAACTTTATTGTTAAAGTTCTAACTAAATCAAATTATTGAGTTGAAACTTATTACCTTTTAGATTCACACTATAATATTAGGTAATTTTCATGGTTGTGTTTTTACCTTCCATTTCAAAGCCGCGCAAGAGGATATCACAATATAAATTATTACAAGTCAATAATGTGTTTTTTAAGTTCATCGAATGTTAAGTAGGTGTTTATTTTACAATAGTCGACAATTTGTCGTTGTAAATTAACATTATCTTTGTATTAGATCATTCTGATAATGTTAAAAAAAATCAAAATAAATAACTCTTCAAAATGGTTGTTTTTGTATTTATAAAAATAAAAATTGTACCTACTGTGTTAAATTTTAAAAAAATGTTTGACATTGAACTTGAAATTGAGCCAAAAAGAATAACACAATATTACTATTAGTCATAATTACAAATAAGTATAAATTTTTTGAATTATGGAAGAAAAATAAACGTAGGTAGCTAAACATATATTTGTCATTACATTTGTTGAAGCAATATGATTTGTATAACAATTAATTAACCAACTGCCCATTGTAAATAATTTATGTTTAATATACCTACACATCACAATATCCTGTACCAAAAACATTAGTAATATGTACAAAACTAATTTATTGAAAAATTATTTGATTCATATTTTGTATCTTCTTAACAACGTCTTTCTAATCAGCTTAGAATCAACTTTTTATCTCTTGTAATATGGTTTAAGAGAAAATATATTTCTTCTCATTATTAGTGTGTAGCGCTTTGTTTTTTCCCTCATTGACAACAAGCCCTTAAAGATATCAACATCACAATTTTTTTTTACATTTAAATTATCATAAGTATAGTTATACTTATACAGTTGATTTTTTAAGAATCAAGAAAGTAAAATTAAGTCAATTCATGTCACGAATATCTATTTAAATTATATTAATAAAAACCTGAAACCTGCATAAATCAGCTTTAGAACTTGACTAATATTTACCACAAACAATATGATAAAACATTTGTTGGTCTGCTAACAAATTATGGTTTATATTATTACAATATTACTGTTGGTCTAATAGATGTTTTGATTGTTATTACTAATATGTTATTATAGATAATATAATTATTAAATTATTAGTAATTGGTATACACACAAAAAATGTTACCTACCTTAATCGATTCGTTATTAACAGCGTCCATTATTATTCTAATAATATATGTTATATTAATATGTTGTGATTTTTCTGAAACGAAAACACTAAATTACACAACCGAACGCACTTACAAATATGTATCGAGTGCTGTAACAAGACCCAGATCTTAATAATATTATACACCAACGGTGTGGTCTAAATTCTGGCGTTTGGACGTTAGCCATATCCAACGGTTTGTATAAAAATAACTTTGCTTCAAGGGCCCCCAAAGGGGATTATGTTTTTTAGATGACAAAATTATTGTTTTTGAGTTATTGATTTACAACGTCCATCGAATTTCGTTTGCGCAAGCACACCAGTGTAACCTAACCTTGAATTGTTGACCTATTGCATTTAAAAAAAATAAAAATTCAACTAAAAAGAACCAGTACATCCATAGCCAGGTCTATGTATGAGTTATAACAACTGAAAGTGATAAAATCACTTTCAAATAAACGCTTCAATGCGAATCTGTAAACTGCATTGCGCCTATGAAATGTGCATGAAAATGTATTTTTAGTATTCGAGATGATCTTCTGTCTGTAATAATTTATTGCCATAAGTTTCCTTATTTATTTTAATTGAAAAAAAAAGTTTTATTTGCATCGCTTCATCACACATAGCAACCTGGAAATTGACTAAGGTCAAATTTTAATTTTTTCTTTTGTTTTCCTCAATAAAAATTAAGTTTTGACTACAGATTTTTGGGAAAATTGCATGTATATTATACTTCATTCTAGATCTATCTTCGGTTAAACTTTAAGCCCTAATACTGTCTAATTCAATTTACAATTATATTGCACATAATATTTTTCTTTTAACTAATTTTGTGAGTTTTTAGTTAGTTTTGGTTTAGCGATATAGTCAAACATGTTATGTACCATAGGTTTTAAATTCGGGTAGACGATTAAAAAAAAAAAAAATGTATTTAATTTTGTTTAATAACGATCAAAACACATAACAACTTTATGGATAATCGACTAAGGAAGGTCAAAGTAATCTCGATGAGAAACTGGTGTGTTATTTCAGTGACAAAATACTAATAGCGTATTTGTTTAATTGGTTTGTTCTATTTATGTACATAATATAACAAAATACTGTAAATACTTCTGTTTGGATAATTATACATAATAATTTCTATATAGAACAGATTATAAAATTTGGAAAGGTTTTTTCTCAAAATAACATTTTTTTTTTCCAACAACAATTATATTGTTTACATATAAACTACATACACAAAAAAGAAAGTAGGAAAGTACACGAAAATAAAAAGCTAACAATCAAGAAATTGTTTTCAAACTCGATATTGTCACATTATCCGACATTGTTATTTGTAGGATCTTCGAATATCGGCGGTTGAGGTCGAAACTGTTCGGCGGACATGTGCATGAAAAACAAGCCGAGTCCTTCAATCATGGCTAACAAAAGACCGCCAAAAACAGCGCTAGCTGCCATTGCTGGGACGCCGTTTCGCGCGGCCAGGATGCCACCGGTCAGAGCACCGCTAGTGATGGAATTCCAAGGATCTTCTTTTTTTCTTATGGCCACCAACGTACAATCAATGGTCGAGAACAAACCTCCCCAAACTGCAAAACTGCCGCCAATGTTGGGTGCTCGGGTGGTGACCGAATGAAAAGCACTCTGGAAATTAAATCACAATTACTTTAAATTGTACTTTGAACTGATTTTAATTTACCACTGTAATAACGTTATAGCATAGCTAAGCGCGTCACTAATTAAATGTCGTCTTCCATTGGAGCATACAACATTAACGTTACATTTTTGATGATGTTAGAAAATTGTATTTTTACTCACATTGAAACGCCTATTGAAACCGGTCGGTGCATTACGGAAACCTTTGATTCCTTGGAAAAGACCTCCGCCAATGAGTCCCATGGCAAATGCACCACCAAGATCTTCTAAAATCCTCATTGGGCATGGCTCTCTTCCAAATTCATCCATGGTTAATTAGAAAAACTATAAAAATACCTAATATTTAAAAATAGTATAATATACACATAAAAATAGTTTTGAAATATTGATTATCACAAATAAGGGAAAATTTACAAGTCAGTATATATAATGATACAAAGAGAAAGATTATTTGAAATTGGCAATCCGCAACATTCTTGCAGTAGGTTCATTTGTAGCAATGTTTGTGGAAAATATTGGAATATAGTTGGGAATATAGTATGGGCAGATAGTTATTGTGCAAGAAAAAAGGATATTTTATTAATAATAGAAATACATTTACTGCTGCTTTGGGTAACACTATTATAAAAATTGGCTTTATAATAATTATACAAGTACATTTATTAATATAAATTAAGTATAATATTATACACATTGGGTTAGTCTCTATCCGGTGACTCAAATCTCATCCGTTTGTTAGATTCAACACTAGAATTTGAATCTGAAGCCCACTTCCAATTGTCAGGTAATTTCAAAGTGGTATGTAATGTTTCATCGTCGATTGGATCATTTGACTTTTTACAGTATGTAGTTAATACATCGAAAATCTCTTGTTTACTTTGTTTTTTAATGACATTAAAGAATAATTTTTCGGGAGATAAAAATTTAACTATTTCCCGTAGCTCCTTGCAGCTTGCGTGGCTCGAATAACACACCCTGGTACAATCTTTATTGACAAATACGTAGCCATTTTTTTTTATAACATCGCTCGTAAAAGCCAACGCCGACAGTTGGATGTACTTGATATTATTTTGATTTTTTGACAAGCAACAATTGGTTCCATCTTTACTATTTTCATTGCGAGTACACGCATGAATTTTGAAATTTTTCGCCTCTGGCGTGACATATTGACTCAACTCGGGTATCAAACCATATAATTTTTCAAACTTTATTTTGTGCACATGAATTGGCTCTTTAAAATACTTTGCTACTTCTATAACGGCAAACTCTACACCAATGTATGCAGGCATAAATAAAACTATTTTATTTTCCTCATCTTTTTGCAACCATTCTTTTATAGCATTAATTAATATAGTACAGCTGTCATTTCTCGTCGGAAATTCAAAATACATCTCCGATGCAAATGTAGTATCTAAATATAATGATGTTATTCTTTTTGCAACACAACGTTCATTGTTATTGGCCAAAATAGGTTTGAAATTTTTAAAACCTTCCAATTGAACACGAAAATCTCCGGTATACAAAATACGATGCGTATCTACTTCTATTAAAATCATAACAGATCCTGGACAATGTCTCGCCGGCAACAGGGTAACACAAATATTTTCATAGTGCTTAGATTTTACTTGAAGATTATGCGAAAATCCGACAGTCAACGGTATTAACTTGTGATCGTCCAGGTTCAATAGTGTGTCGCGTTTTAAAAATGTTATCGTTAACGGAGATGCATACAGGACCTTGTTTTTGCTATTATTGAAGTTTTCTTGGAACTCTGGACTCTGTATGCCAATCATGTGGTCCGAGTGTGCGTGTGATAGAAAATACACTGAACAATCAAACAATTCGCAGGTGAAACGGTCAATGCCGATAAAATCCAATTGGGTTTCATTTAATTTACCACAAAAAGTAGACATTTTCCCTGAAATTATACACAAATACAAAACCTAGAATTTTAATTACAAAATAAAATGAGCAATAATACATAAGAAAAAGGTAAAATATATTCGGGAACTTAAATCGATCACTACTTGATAATTTAAAAAAATATTGTAACGATATCAACAACATATTAATTTTACAGTTGTCAGGTACTATGAGTTTAATTTCTGAAAAGATTCTATCGTTGTTTAGATAACAATATGTGAAATCCGTACTGCACAAAAATCATCCGCTCGTAAATGCTTGGATCACGCTTTTTTACATAGTAGGTTTTTATTAAATACACAATAGTATTAAACGCTAAAATGCTAAAAGTACAATCTTAACTTGATAGTTTCACTGAGATAAAATATTGCATAGACATTTTAGAAGGTCAATAATTGTTTTATTATTGTGTTAACAAGTGGAAATAAATGTCAACTTACCGAAATACTTTGGTGGCCAGTATAATTAAATATTACAAATATAATAATATTACAGATAAATATCTCCAACTAAATACAAAACAATTGCTTTAGAATAAAACTTCACTTTGAATAACGCACGGTTTTCACGAAAGACCAAAGCTTAATCACATGCACAATGAATATTAATAATTGGTATAAAATTAGCGGTTGATAACAGCGGTAGATTATCATGATTGGTTCTTAACACGTTATTTTATGATCAATTTGTCAAGGAGAATAAAACAAGTGTATATTCTCTTTGGAATTCACTATAATCCAAATTATTGAGCGCCGAAATTGTTCAAATTTTAAAAGTAGCTTGATACATTCTTGAACAATATTTTTTCAAAAGTATATCAACTTGAATTTTTCACTACTTCTTTCTGTTTGATTCTAAAAATAAATATCTATATAAATTAATAGCTACATGTACACGTCCCCAAATCTGGACGCTAGTAGGTATTATGGCTTTCGTCAGGTCCAATATTAATTATAACTGGTGTGACAGAAGTAACTGTAGCGGAAAATGTTTCAAAGTTTATTTGAAAATAGAAATGACTAAAATTGTAAAAAAAATATGCCCATAACTGATCAAAGGAAATTACCGCAATCTGTTTGTCTATATTCAGACATTCATATATATATATATATATATATTTTTTTTTTTATTGAATTATGGAAATAACGTGTTAGTGTTTTTATCCATTTTTCGTACCCCTGCGAATTGCGCCAATGCTAGTAACGCTTTAATACAACAATTAAATTCTTTCAAGTATTTATTGTTTTTAAGGTATAAGATACACTAAAGAAGAAGTGATCCACATGGAAATTAACAGCATTAAATGATGTAATTTTTAGAAAATACTCATAAAACAACCCATTATCGGTATTTTTTAATACTTAATCTCTCTTTGCTTGTAATTCCGTCAATATTCATTTTTCAAGTTTGTTCATTTATTTTATGCTGACAATTTCTTTGTGAATCATTCATTCTTTAGAGTATTGCTTAGCTCTGGAAAACATGAAAACTTTGTAAAAATTAGTTTTAACTTTTTTTTTATCCAATGAAACAGTTAAAAAAAATATAAGGAACATTTTCTTTTTTGACAGCTGTACAATGATTATTAATTTTGCCTCATTGTAATTAAAACACTAATTAAAGAATGAATAAATCATAATATATTCAAAATAAACATACAATGTTTAAAAATAACATTAAAATTAAAAATATAAAGTGTATACAATTATTTTTAAAAGATCCCATAGAAAGTATTATTTATAAAAATATAATAATAATTTATAAGTTAAATAATAGCAAACACATGTATATCACTTCCAACTCGATTGTTCGGCAAATACGTATGAAAAAATTCTATCACTTTTTTGTAATTTCGCTCTTTAAGAAACATTTCAATTTGTTCTGATAAAACGTTAAACATAATTATGTGAGAAGGATAATTGTTTTCATACTTGAATAGATATGTATTTTCGAACCATTCGGTGGGATTTTCAAAGAATATGTCAGCCTCGTCTTTGTAATTCGGCGTGTTATTAATGTTTGGTTCACACGTTAATATTCTTGTTGTCACATTGATGTGCAAATGACTATAAAGTGGAGTAGAGTGACATGGCATTAAAAATAATAGACTCGAAGTTTTCGGCAACGTAGCTAAGTAAGACATAACATTCAGAGAACCTACTTGGTGATATTGTCCCAAATAACACAAGACAAAAGTATTTAGTATAGTCATTATGACAGTTAGTTTTTGAAAACGTTTACAGACAGAATAAATATATTGGGACGTTACAAAGAATATCATGGGAAGTAACGGTAAGAGGAATCTATGTTCTTTGTGACCTATCATACTGAACACTATTAAACTCCACAAAATTGTTATAATTAACTTGAAATTAGTGTCTGTATAATTGCATTCTCTTAATGTCTTGAATAACGCATAAGTGAATAAAATAGTTATCGGACCAAGTATTGGTGGTAATCCATTGATAAAATACCACGCCCAATGTTCAGTCGAATAGTGTTCATTTACTTTTTTAAACACATTGTAATACAAAAAGTTCCATTGGGTAAAAACTAATGAACCATGTAAATAACTATCTAATATTATGGAAACAACAATTAACGACACACCTATACCTACATATTTATACAAGCCACGGAGAGTATAACGTTTATGATTAAAAAAATCAATTATAACCAAAGGAAGCCAAATAATCACCGCTGTTGGTCTTACGATGCATAGGAGTCCAACTATCCATAAAAATTTTGTTGCTCTATTTTTTTTCAACGACCACGGATAATGATATAAAGCTATTGTGGTTAAATTTAATTCTGTAGTATTGACTATTGTGCGTGTAGAACAGTAAGCCAAGAATGGGCAAGTTATATAGTATATGGCTGGCCACAGTATATTTTTACAAGAAGAATGTTTTTGTAGCCATCGAATGAAACAATAGTCTGAGTACACAGAAAAAAACATTTGAAATACTCGTGGAGTCCAGATTAATAGTTGCACACTATCCAGGTGGAATAAATTAAGCGTTTTGTAGATAAGAACGATCCACAATACAGATACATAGCTCCTAATGCCGAGTATCCATTCCCAAGTTCGATAACCGTACCCATAGGTCAAACGATGAGCAATTTCTAGAGCCTGCCAGTATTCATCAGGAACAAACCACGAACGCACGATTAACAAGTGAATCAATCTTACAGTCAACAGCAATAAAATAAGTAATATATCTCGTTTCTTCATTTCAAATACGATCATTTACACATGTTCATTTTCTAGTTTTATCTTCTTTAGCTGAAAAAATAGTTGATCTCACATCATATATCTTGTAAGAAATGTATATTTCGAAAAAAAAAATTTTTTTTAGTTACAACAATAAATAAAAATACCTACTAAACAGTGAGTTTTTTTAGACGAATTTTGGTTTAAACTTCAGTTACGATATTTTTTAAAATTACAATGACCAAAACATGTTTAGAAGTACTATGATTTCTTAAAAAAATCATTTTATTTTATTCTAAATAAGAAAATTTACTTTTTTTGAATTCTCATAGTAAACAATTTATTTATCAGGTTATCAGGTAACGGCCAACTGATAAAACAGATGCTTACAATTGTTATCAGTTATCACCATTTTTATTATCTCTTATCAATAAACATACCACGGCGGAAACACGACAAAAGGTCGCCCGACAAAACGTCGCCGGACAAAAAATCGACAAAACGCCGCCGGACAAAACGCCGCCCCTAAAAAAACCGCCTCTCAGTAGTGCCAACACTAACAATACTTGTATACAATATACGATTATTAATGGTGTTAGTTGTGCTGCCAGCATGACATATTATTAAGGAGTAATTATTAGCTAACGACTCAAACGAGGCTGTTTTTAAAAAATATTTCCAGATGGCATTTTGAAAGAGACAAAAAGTCCGAACGTATATTTTTCACCACCAAAAAAACGATATTTTATTATCTCTAGAAAACTGTTTACCTATTATTGAACTGTTATCTTTGTTTATTTTATAAATGTGTGTAGGTATCACCTATAATCTATATATTTTTTAGTACGTATTGCTAAGTGTATAGGTACAAAATGGAAGTTAATGTTTTAAAGTTGCCGCGCCGGATGAATTACCTGCCAAATATACCTTCTTAGGTACGAAAGTATACACAGCCCTGTTTTACTTCGTATATTTGTTATTCTTTATTAGTATTAAGTAAAATTATATTATTATTTATTAAAAAATGGTCTTAACAATGGCGGTTCTAAAAAAAAATATGAAATAACATTTAACCACTTTTTGTATCCATTGCATTTTTTTTTATAAATATATTCATTTAAAAGTATTCCCATTTTTGCGTATATATTAGTTTTAAAATTTTAACATAAGAACATTGAGAAAATTAAAAAGTAAGGGGAAAAAAAATGACTAATTAGTTCTTGTGCGTGTACATTTTGTTTTTGTTAAGTCAGTCGGCCGAATGGACTTGGGAACAATGACTTCGCTACACCCTTGGCCAGAAATTAAGTTAATTTGTTGTGTGTGAATTTTATTTTGTATTTTGTTTAGTTAACTGTTTGTTGCACCGGTGAGGCAATTCTAGTTTTAGTACTAATGATAACCGAAAAAGGAACTTTTTTAAATTATTTAAGTTTTCAAATTATCAACATTATACATACATTACACATTTGACACTACAGTAACTCTTTGGTATTACTAGGCAACCCCATTCATCCCTTTTGAGCTACTATATACACAAAAATTTAAGTAGGTATGTATGTTGTACATAGTATACAGAACGTGCAAAGAAGTACCCAAAAATGATTGGTGTTTGTTTGAATAAAAGTTTAATATTGTTATTAGGTAGCGCAGCATTTTTATTTTATTTAATAGATAAATCAACAAATTATTTTTGAAATAATAATATGTAGAGTTTAGAAATTAAGCCCTCGAAAATATTTGTTTGTAGTGATGAGTTTTTAATATTCAGTTGTCACTGGGTGTTAGGTACATTCTGTATAACTTATCTTCTTATAAACAAAACAAAAATTTAAAGCCACCGCTGACTGAGGCGTCCAATCGAATGGACAACAGAAGGGTTATGGGGTGGCGAAGGAAGGTGTTTGTTTTGACTAGAAACCTAATAAATCTCCAAAAATAGTCTGTAACCGTTGCGAATTTAATACATACAGAAATAATGGGACATTGACGATTTATAATATTATTGAAAATAATTTTCGTTTAAGTATTTCAATGTACACCGATAATTTTCTTTAAAAAAAACTCTATTATTAACATTTAAAGCGACGGAATTCCGTCTTTTTACATAAAATCTTGTAAGCAATATGTCTGTCATTCTTTGATTATTCTGAGGATGTCTCCGGCGGGTATAGGTTGTCCAAGAAAAAATCCGAATTTCAGTTATTTGGACATAATAATGTTCGTAACCAATGGTTGTCCAAAGTACATCCCATTCTATGCCTACGTATTTTATTTGTGGTTTACTACTATATATCCATATCATGACAATATGACACCAAATACCAGTGCCCCCACAAGCGAAGGTATCAGAGAGGTCTGGGGCCCTTATGTACAGGCCGTATTGGCGCATAGGCACTGTGCCTAGGGCCTATGAAAATGTGTGGCTACTATTTTTTAGTAATCCTTTATGTTTTTTTTAATTATTATTATAAGTTAATGTACAATATGTATACGTTAGCACAACACGTAAAATATTATGTATATAAGAATTTACAGACAAAAACAATTTATTACTCGTATTACCGCCAAAATATATTTCAAAAATGATTTTTAATTTGTTAAAATTCCATAATATCAAAAGAAAAACAAGTAATTCAAAGAATTACATTTTTTTTAAAAACATAGTGTACAAGATTATCAAAGATTATTTTGGGAAGTTGACGCTCTTGCTTCTGGACCCACTTCTAGAACCTCTGCTCTAATGGAGGATTTTACACAGCAAAATTGGCCGTTTTCGGTGTGTCACTGTGATATATCAACTCACAAATTTGGAATACATTATATCCAATGTGTTATTTCATCTACAACTAAAGCTGTCTAATAATTGTAGGTAGGGATATAATATCTCAGTTTAGGACATATGATATAGCTTCATTATATAAACACTATTATTATTGAAATTCATATTTTTATTTATTCCATTTTTATTAAGCATGACCTACATGATAATAATGACCCAGATACAGGGGCGACATTTCAGTTTTTCTTAGGGTGGGGCAACATTTTTACAAATATAAATATTTTTTCCAAAACACTTAGATTCAAAACAGTAATAATACAAGTATTATAAATCTTCACACCTATTATACTTGGTAGTCAGTTCAGACGGTTTATTATAGGGTAAGTTAATGTAGGTAGTTGCATAAAAAACAGATAATTTACGGCCTTATGTATCGAAAATTTGACCAGCCCATAAAAATTGACGCCACTGCCCAGATAGATTGATATATTTTTATTGATATTGATAAAACTATAACGATGTATCTAAATATCGATAAGTATAAAATATAATGTTATTAACATTATATTGCAACTGGATGATTGTATCGATATTAAATAATCAATAAACTCGAACTGTACGTACGCCCATTCCTAGTGCAGCCTGCATGAGATGATATCGATTCTTAATAAAAATATCGATATTTAAATATAGTTGATCATCTTGTTGTTGCGCTACCTTAAAAGTATCCAAAAATATACATTGCCCAGTTAAGGGTTAAAAACGATTCATTGATTCGAACAAGACGGAAGACTCAAAATTAGTTGATCACCTATTTTTGATTCAGTTGACCGTCGAGTCAACGCCGGAGATCGTACAATATTACTCATGTTACTTTGGTACTAACGGTTATTAACTTAATGAATTGTAATGAGGTAACATATTTTAGACGTATATCAATGATAATTATTAATTTTCATAATTTTCTCAAACCAAATTATAATATGTATCATGAAAAATTAATTTACATTATATTTTAGTATTATTTAGTCCTACAACTTTACAGGTTGAATTCTAAAATATTGCAATTATATAAAAAAAAATTGTATTTAATCATCAGTACGAGAAGTATAATAAATGACGAAAACCGAATGCAATGTAGGTGACCTAGTACTTTTAGGGGTAAAAATGTATTCTGTTGTATAAAATATATATATTTTATAAGTTTTTAGACTTCTTGCGATATAAATTACCATAAAAGTTGTAAATAAATGCAAAAAGTGTTGAGAGGGAGCCCAATTGATGAACCCGGTATCACTCACTCCTGGGAACCGATCACGCTCGACCGCACCACATATAGTTTTTATAATGCGTTACATTTTTTCTTGGCTAGGTCCCCTCGCCAACCCGCGATAAGGAACTTCGTTCCAAAAATAATAGGAGATTTAAATCTAACAGATGCACATCATATTATTTATGTAATCAAATCTAAATATACTTAAATTACTTAGATTAACTATTGTTAGTTTTAAATATAGATATAAAAAGCATTTATTTTCGGTGGAAATATATACTATATTATGCTTATTTATATGTTGTATAGTAGTGCCATTTATACTTACAGTACAACTGGTTAGGTACTATTTAATTGTACTCGGTAATCGGTATATGGAATATCTCACATGATTGCATTAGTGATTTGCAAACAAATTAGTAGTAGGTATATTACTATAAAGTGTAGGTATGTAATATTAATTAACATGTTAAATGTTTTATCAAGTGTATAAATAATGTGTCAGTTTATTAAAACTTGTTGATAGTAATGAAAAAATGTATAGGGCCAATACCAAATGATGATTGTATTAAATCAAACGCGATTTTTATTTAAATGATTGCATTTTTTTATCGAGTGTAGTAAAATTTGCCTAGTTTGTGGTAGATTAAGTCAAAATAAGTATTAATAAGTAAACATTTGGAATATAATCGTAATTTGTTTTAGCTCTTATTATAAATTTTCAATTTTATAAATATTTTGTTTTTTAGGGGACTATAGTATCCCTAAAGGGAATTATCTAAGGGGTTAATTCGATCATCCTTTAACGTTTCGGACAACACACGTGACTTAGATGTGATGTTTTCGTCTTAAAACGATTTCAGCGCCACTGCATCTCAACGTATATTCTTTTTTCAATGGAGAATTGGAATATAATAGCCGTCGTTTAATTGTTATTAACCTTTCGGTCCATATTCTTTGTGGTTCTGCGAAGACAACAGATGAAGACTTTATTTATAAGACTTTAATAGTTGTTATTATTCACATAAGACCTGCCGTTTTTTGTATACTTTTAAGTTTTTTTTTGCTACACATTAATTTTCAAAAAGCTCTTTCTTTCAAAATTCAATTATAAAATGTCATTTAACCATAATAATAAATATTTAAAAATTAATATGGTCAAATGAGATGGATGATTACTATTTACTCCTTAATAATATGTCATGCTGGCAGCACAACTAGCACCATTAATAATCGTATATTATATACACATATTGTTAGTGTTGGCATTACTGGGAGGCGGTCTTTTTACGGGCAGCGTTTAGTCCGGCGGCGTTTTGTCGATTTTTTATCCGGCGACGTTTTGTCGATTTTTTGTCCGGCGACGTTTTGTCGGGCGACGTTTTGCAGTGTAACCTACCACGGCGTAAACACAGTTATCACTTGGCACGTGGTTTCTGATTGTCTTAAAGGAGTAGAGACTATTGTAGACTATACTTTTTTTTATAAAAACAACTATATTTCTCATTACAAAATTTGGCGTTTCATAGTAAGTAATTGTAATATATTTAGCTACTTACCCTGTGTACCTTGTGTGTCATGTACATTATACTTAAAGATCATTTATTATTTTAACAAAAGTAGATTTTATTAGCTTCTGTGATACGTTTAACTTTGTTTGATAGTAAATTGTCTTTTATTTTCATTTTGAATGAAAATTATTTTTATTTTAGAAATAATGGACGACGAAAAAATAATCGGCTTTAGCGACACACCGGAAGACGTGTCAAAGTTCGATCTGAAACAGCCGCATGGCAAAAGGTCTGGTGGCTTTCAAGCAATGGGCTTGAGTTTTCCCGTATTAAAAGGTATACTGAAAAGGGGCTACAAAGTGCCTACGCCTATCCAAAGAAAAGTAAGAAGACATTTTGTTCATTAAAAAGTCAATGAATAATTATCTCCTAGATTTATCAGTTCACGAGTGTTAAATTTGAGGTAATTTTGGGTACAAACAATTATTTTTGTTTTAGACCATTCCCATTGCTTTGGAAAACCGCGATGTTGTTGCTATGGCTCGAACTGGTAGTGGTAAAACTGCTTGTTTTTTAATACCAATGTTTGAAAAACTGACACAACACACCGTGAACGGTCATAGAGGTATTCGCGCATTGATTTTATCTCCTACACGTGAACTTGCCGTTCAGGTAATTAATTATACCTGTTAATAGTTTTTTTTTGCCGAGTAATTTTTATGTTTAATTGTATTTATAAATTACGTATACTAACAAAAAAAAAAATGTTTGTTTAGACTTTAAAATTTGTAAAAGAACTTGGTAAATTTACAAATTTAAAATCTGCCGTAATATTGGGAGGGGATCCGATGGAAGCCCAATTCAGCATTATGCACAGTGCGCCCGACATTGTAGTGGCTACACCGGGTCGATTTTTACATTTGTGTGTAGAAATGACGTTAAAACTACCTTACATTCAATATGTTGTTTTTGATGAAGCAGATAGGTAAAATAATGATTATTAAATCACTCTTAAAAATCAATTATATTTCATATTTTCTCTCTCAAAGGTTGTTTGAAATGGGTTTTGGAGAACAGTTGACCGAAATTATTGCACGTTTACCAGAGAACAGACAAACATTATTGTTTTCAGCTACTCTGCCTAAAGTATTAGTACAATTCGCTCGAGCAGGACTCGCTGATCCAGTTCTTATAAGGTGTGTAAAACTCTAGTTTTCAATTATGATTTTTGTAAATATTTTAGCTTAAGTGTTCTTATTTTTATTTTTTAGATTGGATGTTGAGTCTAAAATACCGGATACTCTTCACCTAGGATTTATTAGCGTGCGGCCTGAGGAACGCGACGGTGCTCTGTTATGTCTTTTGAAGTATGACGTTAAACCGGACGCCATGACAATAATTTTTGCTCCGACAAAACACCACGTCGATTTTATTCATTTGGTAGAAATTGTTTTCTGAGCACTCATTTGATTGATTTAGACCTATTTATTAAATGTAATTGATTTTTCAGCTTCTGGATCACCACGATATATCCAACACATTTATTTATTCAGACTTAGATCCGACGGCTAGGAAAATCAATGCTGATAAATTTCAAACGGGCAGTGTTCGTACACTAATAGTTACCGATATAGCCGCTAGGGGTATAGACATACCTCAGCTCGATGTTGTAATCAACTATACTTTCCCGGCCAAATCCAAACTGTTTGTACATCGAGTCGGTGAGTGCTTGGTGTTTAATTAAACATTTATATCTGCGACGTTCGCCAACTATATTGGTAATATTATAGGAAGATGTGCTCGAGCTGGCAAGTCCGGCAAGGCGTACAGTTTGGTGACACGTGACGAGTTGTGCTACTTACTGGATCTTCATCTGTTCTTGGGTCGCCCATTTAGACCAGTTTTAGAAACACCAAGGGATGAAGACGATTGCGACGGTCTCTTCGGTATTGTTCCTCAAGTGTTGCTCGAAGAAGAATTGGGACAATTGACAAGCTGGTACACATCGTCGATTGATGTGGTAAAGAAAAAATGTGTTATGATTATAATATGTTACTAATTACTAACTATGTTCTTCTCCCAAACAAGCAAGTGCATATTTTGATGACTCGATTGCGTTATTTTGTTTATTAGATCAACTCTCAGAAGACATGCGTGAACGGTTATAAAAATTATATCAAGTCGAGACCCGGAGCATCAGCCGATAGTGTTCGTAGAGCTAAAAAAATAGATCTAACAGCACTCTCCGATCATCCAATGTTTAAGGATGTTATAGCGGCCGACATGGGTCGTGTAAACATTGTAAATTGCATTAAGAACTTTAGACCGGATACTGTTAGTAAATTTTTTTGTATTGCTTTTTAAATGTTTTGATAATATTTTCAAAAAAATACTTGTTGTAGGTCATTTGTCTTTTTTTCTGAAAACTTACCTTTTTACATTTTTCAGACTGTTTTTGAAATGGGCCAGTCGACCAATTCGATTCAAGCGCTCCAAATGAAATTGCTGAGGGAACGTAATTTGCCGAGCGTTGTCAACTACCATAGGAAAAAGCGCGAACAACTCAAGGACCCCGAAGGCGTACACTTGACTAAAGTCAATTTACCGTCGAGCAACCAATCTGAAATCATAGAAACATTTAACGACATTATTACACAACGACCACGCGTTACGGGTCAAAAAAAGAAAACTAAAAAAAAACCTCCAATTAAGTCCGAACACTTTATACCTTACAAGCCAGCCGATGCGTACACAGAGGAAGGGTAGGATATACATTTTAAAAATCACATTATAGACATTGCGATTTAACTATTATATTTTTTTTTGTTCTTGTTAAGTTTGGCTGTTCACGAACTGAAATCCAGTGAAGGAATATTGGATTTGATGGGCGATTCCGAACAATCGTTGGCTAAACAGCGAACCAACAAACGTAAATGGGATCCTGTTGCCCATAAGTATGTGAGCGCTCAGAGCCTCGAGAAAAAACAAGTGAAAAAGATCAAATCGGAATCGGGCCAATGGATACCGATTACGTACAAGAGCGATAGATACGAGAAGTGGCAAGAAAAATCCAAGTTGAAAAATTCTGCTATAACAGGAGACGACAACGATGAGGACGAATCGAAAAAAATAGCACCGCGTAAGCATTTCAAAAAATTATTAATTCAATTTTCAATTATCTTAATAGAAGATTAACCTCGGGTAACCTTAATAGATTTGTTTTGCTTGATGTTTGAGCTTGGTTGGTTATTTCTGTTAATGTATATTTTTGTTTTGTTTTAGTATTCCGATTTAGGTTAGACACTCGATGGGGACGTCACAATGCGAAATTACGAGAGAAAGAATCTGAACATAGATTGAAATTGGACACCAAGCATATTCTAAAACAGAGAATAATCAAGGAACACCGAAGACAAAAGAATGGAAGAAAACCGGCGAAAAAAGATAAAATTAAGAAAAAGAGCGCTAAATTTAATAAAGTTTAAGTTTATTTTCCAAACTACATGTTGTGTTATTACGAAAATTTGTTTAGGTAAATGAAATATATATTTTAAGACTTTTAAATGACGTTTTTTTAAACTTTTAAGTATTATGATTTTAGTCCTCACTGCAGCACTATGAAGTTAAAAATACTGTATTTGACATTTTTTAAATGAGAAATGGTCGTTACGGACAATATAACGTAATCCACTCTCTTGTGAAATGTTTAACTTAGTTACACATTGTATTCTAAATCTGTGTAAACATATAATAATTGACCTTAAAATATTTTTACTTTAACATGACCGCATGCATTTTGATTGATAAACATGTTTTGATTCTGAACTAAGATCAGATAGATTTCGTTGACAAACGTGTACAATTAATTTTTAAAAAAAAGTCTATAACAATAATATGTCAATTTTGAAACATTAGTATTTTAAGTGGCAAAACTGTTACCCTAACGCCAAATTGCCCTTGTTGAGACTAGATCACGTTATTAGTTAGTCTATCAGTCAGATAATAAATGCCTGCAATCTGGTTCTTGATATTTTTGCATACATTTTAATTAACTATGTATAGGACAATTTTTTGTCCGAATAGCCAAAATTGATTTGGCAATTTTCACAGTTGGACTAATAATAATAAATAAAATTGTAGGACGACCAATGAGCTGAAAATAGAGCGAAGGTTTAGTGTTTATAAAGTTTAATTGTAAATCAACAATTGTAAGTTGTAAATAACAAATTGTTTTTATGACATAAATAAATAGCGTGCAAGCAGTAGGTGATCTTTTAAGATATCGGTGAATATAAAAGAAAGCAATAATAGTATTGTTAGTTAGTGAATTATTATTTTAGATTATAATAAAATAAAATATTTAAAGAAAATATTGTCCATATTAATTATGGTGTTGAACTTTGTATCTGTTACAGTACAGTTGTTAGTCAACAAAACTCAGTAAATAGACCAACATATTTTAATCCTTTTACAGAATTGTAATTGGACCATCTTCTGTGGAAATTTTGTCTAGCTTTTTGGTTTAAAATAAACCAAAATGTCCTTCGAGTGTTCCTAATTTTTTTTGTTGTTCTTTTAATGCAATTTATTTTGCTCTAAAAACTATTATTATTACAATTTCAACGTGCTTACCATCATATTATTATTGTTAGTTATATTTTCTACTCAATAACAAGACTAGAATGGTGTGATAACACTTGGATATATAGTGAATTTATCGATTAAATTTTATTAATAACGAACGGTAAAGGTAAATCGTGACCAAATTCTTTATTTTGACCAAATCGTGACCAAATTCTTTATTTTGACTCTAGTAGTAGTAGTTGGTAGTATGCTAGTAGTTTCTGTCGAGCGGATTGCAAAATTTGTGTACCAGGGTCTTAGCAACCGCCCCTTTGCCAAGAATATTTAAACACAACTGTATTATTACAAACATTATACTTTAAAGCTCTCATACGGTTTGCTTTTCCTTGGACCCTGGTACCACGAGCCACGACGCGAGTACGGCGGGTTAGCTGGCCAACCGCCTTGTTGAAAAACGGGGTCGAGTGTAGGCAATTTAGTTACATAAAAGCACAGCGTGCTTCGTTAAGAAAACGTCATGGTTATAAATTATTATTATTATATTAATTTGTATATTGTTGTATTTCTCGTCAAAAAAAAAAGTATAAAAGTGAGATGTTTATTATACTTGTCCTACATTTTATAAATCAGGCTCTGTTTTCGCCTATAACTTAAATAAGTACTAATAAGTTTAAAAATATTTATACTGGTTGTCGACCAATCATCATTATTTAAACAAGTATAAAGTATGTACATAAAATATGTAACAATTAACATACATGATATTCAAATATACTATTTGAACTTAAAAGTTATCTTTTGGTTATTATTCGAATTTCAAGCCATAATCGTGCAAGTCCAACTGCCAACATCTTGAGAAAATACCTAGTACCTATACTCAGTTCCGAAAAACAAGACACGAGCATAGAAACTAAAATAATACTTCTACGAGTAAAAGCTATTTTGGTTTATTTTAGACCAAAAAGCCAGACAAAATTTCGACCACATAGGATGGTTTGATTTCAATTCTGCAATGAGTTCAGTTTGTTGTAGTCAAATAAATTAAATTTGCAATCTTTTTCAATATTAAAACCCAATTTTTTTACAAAAAAAAAAAAAATCAAATAACCATCATAACTTAGTAAAGTTGCCAAAGATTAAAGAACTAGAATTTGTCTAGGTTTTTTTGGTCTAAAACGTCAAAAATTAGACCGCGTGCAACCCCCTAAACCCGCAACATTTGCGCGCAAATGATTTACAGTGTAAAACCAACTCAAAGGCTACCCTTTGCGTGCCTACCCTAAATGCATTGGCGTGCATTAAAAAAAAACATGAATAAAGGCCACCGAATACCTACAGCTGCAACGGCTCACTATGGCAACCGCGGCCGGTCTCTGCCCCTTTGGCCTTTTTAATAGACTGATGCGCATGTGCAAATTCCGACAACAGCCACTGCACTGCCGTCACCCCGTTTCATATAATGCACCGAGCCACAGTCTGTCTGGCTTCAGGCTACAGCTCTCTAGTGTGGCGCAAATAATCAATAAACCATTTTGATATCGTGTTGCTTTTGAATGTTTAATTGTTTTTAATACTTACCTACGTTTAAACGTGTTATTGTTTTTTTTCGGTCACACTGCGCTCGTGACACGATGACATTATCTTTGTGCCCAACACGCCTAAAGTATTTTCCATAGTTTTGCCGCACTGGGTAATATTTATTATGTTCATAAATAATATTTAAATATTTATAATACCTAACATGTGTTATAATAGTCGTTACTCGTTTGATGTTATTTTTTTTTTTTTGAGTGCAGACCAATTTGAAATGAATATATTATATCAATCCAGACGAAGCGTGGACGGAGGTTAATGATTGTGTACACTTACATACATTATTGCGTAATATGCGGCGATACGACGACCAAGAGAACAGACGTTTTCAAGGTAAATTTTTTTTATTTGAAATAAACCATTATTATTGTTTTATAATAACATCAGCTGTTGCACACACACAACTACCGGGTAATACCGGGCTGGTGGTAACTGAAGTGTTTAGACACTGGTATCCTTGGTAACCCAACTTAACCGTGGTATTAGACAACGGAATAGATTAAATCAGAAAGGACACTTAATGTAAACAATGATTTTCGGATGGAGGCCGCCATTTTCTCATTTATCGATATATTCATAATAATTTATATATATTATACAAAATTAATAATATTAAAAATAAATAGATATAATTCATATCATGACAAATCAAATAGGAATGACGTCAAAATACCAGTTTATAAATCGTACGTATGCGCAGAAATGGTGATAGATTTTCTCCGCCTGTGATTGGCTGTAAATTATATATCTTATCAGGCAATTGTATGCGCGCCAAAATTTGAGTTTGTAAATTATATATTATACAATAAGTAAAACTGAAATAGAGAATAATTAATCATCAATACTGTTTAAAGAGTAAATTATGTTCAGACTTGAGTGTGCTGCATTTTATTTTGTATTTGAATGATCGATATATTGGTAAAAAGATATAATAAGTAGTAATAAATAATATAAGATACAAATATAAATAAAAGATGTAATAAAACAATAATAAGGCATGTCACTAATACAGTAAAAAACAATTTATTTTAATTTTAAAATGAGTTTATATTTGAACAAGAGTTTGTGTTAAACATAAAGTACTTTCTCATTTTTTTTTGTCACAAGTATAATTCCATGTACTATTGGTGGACCTTTTGAGTTACCGAATATTCGTTAGATATTTAAAACCGCACATATTTTTTCCTGATGTAAATAGGGTAAATAATTTGGGTTAATAATTGAAACAGCTCAAATTTTCAGGTAATTAAAAAAAAAAAACTTTTTAAAAACATGCTTTTCTAAAATATAGTAAAAAAGTGAACTAAAAAGTAAAAAATAATTTTACTACTTTTAGAATTATATCCATAGAATTTATCTTGAATACTCATTACGATATTACAAATTATTATTACATATATTAATTATATGTAAATAAATATTGTTACAACATTTTAAAAACGTTATGACTTTTAAGAAAATTATAATTATTGACATCGTTTTTAAAAGTGCTTAAGAAAACAGTTTAAAGTTGATGTGCCAGAGGATAATAAGAAAATAACTAATAAGTAATGGATTTTGTATTATTAATCTTGTTGGCTTAATTTAACATATTTGTGTTCCGGATCACGGTAGGGTTTTTTCAGAATTTCTAGCTTGTCGTATGTTTGCTGCACTTGACCTGTACCGTTTGTAATTGTAGATGTCATTGTCTTTTATAAGATTACAATTTAGCATTAGCATTTGGAATCGATGATTAATTATTTAAGCTTTAAAGCGAAATTGAGAAGGTGTCAATTTTACAATAATGTGTTTGGTTCTTCGAGATTTGATCACAAAGAATTTTAAACTAATTATTTCTCAACTTAATTAATCCTTCGTTAGTGTGTTGCCTAGAAATATTTAGAAATCTCTTGTCACGTGATTTTCAATAAACTTCTTTGCAACACATATACAGAGGGTTAAAAATTTAAAAACCAACAAAATTGTATTAGAAAGTAATTGTCTATACGTTAAGGGTTGTTGGTAAACAGCTGTTGTTTACTTAATTGCTAATTTTCACCTAGGTGATTCGTTATATTTACAGAGAGAGATAGGGTTGAGGTTTTAGTTTAAATAATCAAATATTCGGATAACAAAAATATTTACTAGTATTCGAAATATTATTATATAATCAATTATTGATACTACCTAGTGGATATTTCTTATTTTCGTGATTTGTCATAAATATTTTTCTTGACAGTATTTACTTTGTTTTTTTGCAGTGAAAATGGGATGACTTAGGGACACGAGTATAGAAATTAAAATAAACGCTTGTAAATAAATTTGATACACGTATAAAAGAAATGTCACATTGACTGGCCGAAAAATGTCAAAAGACGTTGACAAATGGCACGAGTGCTTGGCGTGCCACGAATTGTTTTTGGAGAACTCTTCGCTGCGGGTCCACGTGCGCAAACATCGTACGAAACCGCGCGAGTGCCACGTTTGCCATAAAACGTTTAGCAATGGCCATTTTTTTAAGAAGCATAAACGTGTGCACAAGAAAGTGAAACGGTACGATTGCGCGTTGTGCCAGGAATCGTACACCGACAAACGATTGTTTAAAGTGCACGTGAAGACACACGCCGTCGAGTACCGTTGCGCTTTGTGCCGCAAGTCGTTTGTCAGCAGGGCCAATTTCGATAAACACAAGCGCGTACACACGCACGTGAAATGGATGGAATGCAGTGTGTGCCATAAATCGTTCACGGACAGGACGAAGTTCGTAATGCACATCCGTGCGCACACGGTCAAGAAACTACACGAATGCGGCTATTGTCAGAAGGTTTTTCCGAGTAATTCTTATCTCGAGGTGCACGAGCGACGACACACGGGCGAAAAACCTTACGAATGCGACGTGTGCCAAAAGTCGTTCGTCGACAAAGCAAATCTCAATATTCACCAGCGGGGCGTGCACACGGGTCCCAACGACAAACCGTACAAATGCAGTCTGTGCGACAAATCGTACATCTGCTATTCCGACCTGAGGATACACCAGCGCGTGCACACGGGCGAAAAACCATACCGATGCTCGTTGTGCCACAAGGCGTTCAGTCTGTTGGGTAGCTTGCACAATCATCAGCGCACGCACGCCAACATCAAAACGTACCATTGCGCCCCGTGCAAGATGTCGTTCCCTTGCTGCGCGGACTACAAGCAACACCTGGGCACGCACATGGGAGGGGAACGGTTTGAATGCGCGGTGTGCCAAAAATCGTACACCAGACGATCCTCGCTGAAATCGCACGAGCTGACGCACACGGGCACGAGACCGTACAAATGCGGCGCCTGCGGCAAAGCGTTCACGCAAAGGACCAACCTTAAGACGCACGAGCGGTTGATACACAGGGGAGAAAAACCGCACACGTGCACCGTGTGCCGGATGACGTTCAGCACGGGCAACATTCTCAAATCGCACATGCGCACGCACACGGGCGAAAAACCGTACAAATGCGACGTGTGCCACAGGTCGTTTTCCCAAGCGGGCAGCTTGAGAAATCACGAGCGCTTTACGCACTATGGCGAGAAACCGTACGAATGCGACTTGTGCGAAAAGTCGTTCACCAACAGCACGGGCCTCAGGCTGCACCAATACACGCACACCGGCGAAACGCCGTTCGAGTGCAGTACGTGTCAGATGTCGTTCACCAGCTTGACCTCTTTCAGGCACCACGAACGCATCGAGCACTTCGTCGGCAAGCAGTACAAATGCCAGCCGTGCCAGATGTCGTTTCACTCTAACGCTGCCCTCAAAGCACACAAGCGCGAGCACACCGGCGAAAAACCGTACAAATGCAAGCTGTGCTTGAAATCGTACACCGCAAAGGGCCACTTGAAAAAGCACAAGTGTATAGCCACAACCGAGAATTCGTACGAATGCGGCGAGTGCCAGGAAAGGTTTAGCACTAAGCGTTTGTTGAGAGAACACTTACTCGAACACGCTGTTGACGACCCGTACCAATGTAATTTGTGCCAAAAGTCGTTTGCCACGTGTGTTGAGTACATGAAACATAAGAGCACGGATCACGGGGGCGGAGGCTTCAAACCCCGAACTACCCCTCCGTGGTTGCAAAAATGAGCACAGAGGTGAAATAAAGAGACACAAGGCAAAGGTGAATCTTCTTCTTAAGTAAACCGGCAACTAGGACCACAGAATAAACAGAAGGGAATCTTAGAGTTTATTAAAAAACGATCAGACATATTGAGATATAGACAGTGATGCCAAAACGCAGGATGTTGCGTTTTTTTACTTCAAATTTGTCTGTAATTTATGGCTACACTGTTCAGTTTGAGAATTTCTCCACACCTACCAGCACTGTCCATTTCTGATCTGTCCTAGGACCATCCTGATATTCAACCTTTCCTTCGGCTTCCCCTGTCTGATGTCTGTGCCTTCCAGTCTAAGCCTTCACCTAACGCTTGCACGTCTTACTACGTCCTCCCATCTCAAACACGTATGAGTGAATTTTGACTATGTCAAGTATGCCCAGCCCACTGTGATCTTTTGTTCCTTATCGTTTCCAGTACACTCGGTTTGTAAAAGAGTGTTTCTAATTCATAATTTTCCATTTATCATGAAAAAAGTGAACATGTAGCATGTATTAAAAATGTATTGGTACATTTTAAATGTAAATATATGTAAGGTTATTTATAACAATCAGTTACCCTATAATATTATATTACTTGTGCCATTTGTCTACACAGCATGAAGGTTTTTTAAACGTTCATGTTTGTTATCTGTCTTAATATTTGCATTTTTACTTTTGTCGACCAAAGTTATTAGAGATGTAAATGTACATATATTTAATGTAATTTTTTAAGGGTTTTATTTAATAATTGTGCAAGTTTTTATGTTTCATACAATTTTAGACACTAGAGTCTTAAAATGTACTTAATTGACAGTAAATGTTTCTATAAGTAGTTGTTTTTATACTTTTTAAGTATTATTTTGTTTTTTTTTAATGTTATAAATTAAGATAATAAGAATAATAATATAAAGATGTTATTTTCTAAAATGAAAACAAAAATCGGCGTTATTTGTTTATTTTACAATAACTGTATACTTTATGCTTAAGTTTTACAAAAAATATAAATATTGAACCAGTACAATATTTAGTGTATCCAAAACTTTTCATTTAAACAAAAAGTTTTGGATTTAAGTTGGTTAATTCTGAAAAAAATTGTTATTTAAACTGTAAATAAGAATGTGGCAATTTATATTAAAAAAATAAACCAAAAACCATGTCAAATATAATAATGATAATTTCTGAGTAATAACTTCAAACGACTTCTTAAAGACAATTCAAATTAACACTGCGTCCTATAATAATATAATAGCAATGCCCAAACAACACAAACGTTCAAATGTACTGAGATTAATTGTAAATAAATGTTTAAAATTAGTGCTTTATTATATAGTTTGCTGTAAATAGAAACAATCTTACTTCAATAAAGAAAAATACTAAATTATTAATGTTTAGCAAGTTAATAACGATTTTTTTACTTAATTATTTCCACTTGGCTTAAAGTTCTTTAATTTTATACGTGGCTGGTAAAATAACATAAAGTATAGAACAATTAAAAACAGTTATATGTTATACCTGCAGTTGCTTTAGAAACGTTTAAACAATATTTTATTATTTTTTTTAATTTACTTTTAGCGTTAAACCGTTGGTAAATTCACTAAATTGTGTTAGGTATTTTCATTTGTTGTTACAAAATTAAAATTTATAGAAAAACTTTGATTTGCACAATATTGAAATGTGCCATCTGTTTATTATATTATACTTAAATTGGCAAACATTTTTAAATTTGGTTGACACGTTAACATTACTATTTCACTTTGAACAGTTGGGCAATAAAAAAAAAATCTTCTTTTACTTGAGTTTTTATTTCTTAAGTATTCAAAACATATATATATATATATATATATATATATATATATATATATTTATATACAATACATCAGTTGTGATTAATGTATTCATGTTTTTTTTTAGCTCGTTAAGAAACAATTTAGCCAATTAAATCACTATTTCCGACGTAGCTTTTCTTTTTAGCGTACTACTCATGATTTACTTATTTGATCAGATGGATCACATTTTTGTACTTGGGCATTTTTACCTAGACTATTGCCTGAATTTGGTGGCAACGAGCAACGGCTACGCCTCAACTATCGCTGTACTGGCTTTAGTAAATATTGCCCACATCAACTTATCTATATGATATATATATTTTAATTCATCTAAAATTTGTATTCACCTTGAAAGAAAATGGCCAGGTCAGGTTAGGTTTGGTAGGTGCGCCTTAACATTTGTGCACGGTTCATAGTAAACCCAGACAAGGGGTAAGTACTTATACCGTACTCGCCCAGACAGACCGGAATGCACAGGTATGCATTTGTTAAAAAAAAAAGTTAACAAAGGCCACCCCAAGTACAGCTGCATCGGCTCACCATGGCAACGGCCGGTCTTGCCGTTCTAAATTTATGCGGATGCGCATGTGCAAATTCTAACGGCGGCCACTTCCCTTTGAGAGTCTAACTTAGTTAGTTTCAACACACCAGTTGTGGATGTTTTTTACTAGGTAAAAATATGATAACAGTTTTTTTAATTAAAAATATACATTATTTTTTACTGTCGCGGCGGCGTCAATGTATTACAATAATTAATAATTATGAAATATCATAAGTTATTTTGACCAAGTCTTTGATTTTAACAGATTCAGATGAGAAGCGACCAATTTAAAATACAAACCAAAAGAGACGAAGCGGACAGAGGTTAATTTTTGAACATCACAGGAAAGCGGATTTATATTGTTACCTTATGTTATGGTGAACCAACCACTCGGATGCTGTCCCAAAGAAAAGAATAAGGTAAATTGATTTCTATAAGAAATAAACCATTAATATTTTAAATACTAGCGGCACGCTTTTAGTTCTTCGCGTTAAATAGTCATTTTTCCATTCCATTTTTTTTACCTCTGTTTACTTTTAAAACTTAAAATCAATAATAATAATGTATTGATAGTGTGATAAGTTAAAATTGTGGTATAATAAAGTAGAATATATTTAAAATAAAAAGTTAAGTATAAATTCGAAAGGCTTTGAATTAATTGTAAAAGTAGTTCAATGCCGGTTTTTGTAAAGTAACCAAATATTTTGCACTAAATCTTGACTTTTAAAATGTGTATGCTATTTGCAATTTGATACAATTTTTTAAGTACGGTAATTTTTTTATTTCGGAACATGTTCCCGTTTGGTTTGGGAATTCAGTCGAATATGATATTTATAATGAATTCTTAACGGATAAGGATGATGTGAGGCTGGTTGGCTTTTAGGATTTAGTCAAATATTTATTGTAGCAAAAATGGACACTAATATTACCTTCTACTATGATTATTGCAATTTGAAGTTAGTCTGGACAACAAAACTATCCCATAAAAATGAACTAAAAAATTTAATAAATAGTATAATATCTAAGATCGCTCTACTTTTAAAATTAAAAAAAAATATGGTATTGTTTACTATCATAATATTAAATTTGAGCTACTGTAAACTACAATAATTAACGGCCATATTTAAAACCCGGTACGGTACGGTCACTGCGGTATGAAATAAATTCCATTCCACCGAACAGTGCTACCACGGTCAACAAAAAAAAATATGTTTTAATCCGACATTAATTAATTGTAGTTATACGGCTGTATAATCAACAATCAACCGGTAAATCATCATAGTCAACATTTTCAGCAAATTATTCTTAATTTAAAAACTTAATAAAATATGTACGTTAATATTTAAGTTTGAAAAGTTGATAAAGCTCTAGAAAATACAAAAAAAATGTAAAAAAAAAAAAATGAAATATTGTCTAATATTAGCTTTGTTCCAGCAGAGCAAATAGGAAAGATCTAAAGCTTCGTCCACACCTAACAAACGTTTAGGGAAACTTTGTTTGACAAGCGTTTGTCAAATTTTGTCGAACGTTTTTCAAAAGGTTTGACAAACGTTTGTCAAATAAAATGTTTTCTTTTCCATCATCGCTGCAACATGTTGTCAAGTTGCTGGAAACAATTTTCTGTTGCGAGTTTACCGTTCTGTCGCAAGTTTCGCGCATCGTACAACGCGAACAGTTATATAAATCTAGTTATTATCTTGTATATTTTATTTTATCATGGTTTATTCTTGTTTAATCGTGATAATTGATAATTATTCAATAATTAATAAAACAAAAATTGATGTTATTTTGGCGGTATGTGCAAAAGCAAAAACCTAGGTTAATATGGGTTTCATTATGGTTAATTTCAGTTGCAAAATGGTTATTTTAGGCGCATGCGCGTTCAGAATATATTGATATCAATGATAACTTGTTTACAATACTAATGCTGGAACAAAGCATTAGAGGGGGTTGAACACCTTCAAAATTGTTTTTTTTTCAAAAATCTCAAAATATATTATACTTAGAACAAAACTTTTTGAATAAAAGTTGTTCGTCACATAATTATCTAAAGTTTGCTTTTCGTGTATTTTTATGTAAGTGCAAAACTTAGGCCAGAAAAGCGGCCCAATGTTGACTATTTTTGAAAATTTTGTAAAATGTACGCTATTTTTTTTATTATTATTATTATTATAACGTTTTTATGAACTCACAATCTTGTTTGTCGTTCCGGGTGGAATCTTGCAACTCAAATTTCGAGCACTTCCCGATTAGCTATCCGGTTGAAACTTTCAGGGTAGCTCACAATTCGATGAAAATGCATTATTAATCCACAAGAGATTGAAAATTCCACCCTTAAAGGGGTTAAAATGGGGTCGATTTCTTGTCCGTCGTTCCGGGTGGAATCTACTTCATTTTACTATTTAGTGACGGAAATATATTTCTAGACTATATTTAATGATCTAGTAGTAATGCTGTAAGTGTATAATGTTTTTATTTATATATATCAACATCCAAAAATGTGAGCATTGAATACCCCAATCGGTAGTATCGTGTTTTTTGGATGTGTAATACAGGTTCATCAAAGTTGTACACATTACTATTTGCCTATACAAATGCGATACACATATGATTAGACAAGCTCGTAGGCGCAGACATTTAGCCTGTAGGCATGCGGGTTCATTGGGTCAATATAATTGTGAAAATTTGGATATTAATACTTCTTGACAAATACTAATGGTCTAAAACGTGAAAAACAGACCACATGCAACAAACCCCTTAAAACTATTGATTTTTTGTACTTTTTCTTTTTGAAAACATTTTTGCCTATGCTGTATTACATTAGCTTTGTTTTAGAATTAGTGTTGTAAACAAGTTATCATTGATAGCAACATATTCTGCATTCAGCTGGAACAGATTTCGGCGATTGTGGTTGTTACCATTAACCATGGTGTAACTCATATGAACCTAGGTTTTTGCTTTTGCACTTACCGCCAAAATAACATATTGACAAATATTAGATGTCAGAGATTCATAGTTTTACAGGTAGAGGACTTCTAAAGGAAGTTTCTTAAATACTTACACGAAATTATATGGCTTTATAATTCTCCAATAAATGATACTGTATAGTAAAAATTACTTATTTCTCATAATTTGTCTTCATTGTTTTTCATGTCGATTTTTTACTTTGTATTTTACAGTGAAAATGAAATAACCTAGGACACAAGCATGGCAATTAAAATGGACAAAACGGTTGTATTTTTGCGACAAATATAAAAGAAAATCGATATTAAAATGTCAAAAAGTGTTGACAAACGGCACGAATGCATGGCGTGCCACCAATTGTTTCTGGAGAAACCGAAGCTGAAAAAACACGTGCGCAAACATCGTACGAAAGAACCGCGCGAATGCCCCTTGTGCCATAAATCGTTTACCAATGACCATTTTTTCGAGAAGCACAGTGGTTGGCACAAGGGAGTGAGACGGTACGATTGCGCCGTATGTCAGGAAACGTACAACGACAAACGGTTGTTTAGAGCACACATGGGCACACACTCCATCGAGTACCAGTGCGCATTGTGCCACAAATCTTTCGCCAGCCTGACCGAGTTTGATAAACACAAGAGCGTACACGAGGGTGTGAAATGGCACGAATGCCACTTGTGCCATAAATCGTTTGCGCACAGGGACGACTTCATCAATCATTACAGTACGCACGAGGGCAAGAGAATTCACCAATGCGGCTATTGTCAGAAAGTGTTCGCCCAGAGCTATAGTCTTAAAATACACGAGCGAGGGCATACGGCTGAAAAGCCTTACGAATGCGACGTGTGCCATAAGATGTTTGCCACCAATGCGAGTCTCAAGTGTCACCAGCGGTGCGTGCATTCGGACGACAAACCGTATCAGTGCAGCTTGTGCCACAAATCGTTCGCCCTCCTCGGCACCCTGAAAATGCACCAGCGCGTTCACACGGGCGAAAAACCTTACGAATGCCCGGTATGCCACAAGACGTTTAGCCTGTCGAGCAGCTTGTACAGTCATCAGCGCAGGCACGAAACCGTCGAATCGCACCGTTGCGCACCGTGCCGCATGTCGTTTGCTAGCAGAGCGGACTACAAGCTGCACAAGAGCACGACAACACACCCTGAACAAAAACGGTTTAAATGCGGCGTGTGCCAAAAATCGTACACCAGACGTTCCTCGCTGAAATCGCACTTGCGCACGCACGCGGGCGGTATTAAACCGTACAAATGTAGCATGTGTGGCAAATCGTTCAACCAAAAAAGCACTCTGATGAAGCACGAGCTCGGGCACACGGGAGTCAAACCGCACGCGTGCGACGTGTGCCACATGAAGTTTGCGACCAACGCCAATCTGAGAAAACACGAGCTTACCCACACGGGCGAAAAGCCGTACAAATGCGGCGTTTGCGACAAATCTTTCACCCAAAACGGTAGCATGAGAGTGCACGAGCGCACGCACACGGGAGTCAGACCGCACGCGTGCAGTGTGTGCCAGATGACGTTCATGACCAAAGCAACTTGCGTCGCACACGAGCGCACGCACACGCGCGAAAAGCCGTACAAATGCAGCATATGCGACGAATCGTTCAACCAAAACTGCAGTCTGAGAAAGCACGAGAACACGCACGCGGTCAACAAGAAGTCGCACAAATGCGGCGTTTGCGACAAATCGTACACCACACTCTACCACCTGAAATCGCACGAGCTCACGCATGAGCTCACGCACACGGCAAAACGGCCGTTCAAATGCGCCACGTGTCCCAGGTCGTATGGCAGATCCGCCGACCTCAGATTGCACGAGCTTTCGCACGCAGGCCAAAAACCGTACAAATGCCACGAATCGTTACAATGTGACGAATCGTTCGCACACAACTACACTCTGAAAAGCCACCAGCGTACTCACACGGACCGACCCCTTTACATGTGCAAGATTTGCGACAAACCGTTCAACCGAAGGCACCATCTGGCCAGGCACGAGTCCACGCATGCGCGCACCGATAGGAGACACGCGGTCCAGATACCGTATAAGTGCGGCGTGTGCGACAAATCTTTCAAACAATCGAGTAGCCTTAGAGTGCACGAGTACACGCACACGGGCGAAAAGCCGTACGAATGCGCGGTGTGCCATAAAGCATACACCACACGTTACAGCCTGGGGACGCACATGCTCGGGCACACGGGCACCAGACCGTACAAATGCAAACTGTGCGACAAATCGTTCGTGCTGAGCTCCACCCTGAAAACGCACGAGCGCTTGCACACCGGCGAAAAACCCTACATGTGCATCGTGTGCCCGATGAGGTTCGCCGCGCGGACCACTCTCAACAAGCACAAGCTCACGCACACCGGCCGGAAACCTTACAAATGCGACTTGTGCCACAAATCTTTCTCCCAAAACTCCAGTTTGCGCAGCCACAAGCGCTTCACGCACTTTGGCGAAAAACCGTACGCATGTGACTCGTGTGAGAAATCCTTTACCAACTGCGAAAGCCTCCGGATGCACAAGTACAAACACACCGGGGAAACCCCGTTTGAATGCAGTCCGTGTCAGATGGCGTTCACCAACTTGAGCTCTTTCAGGCACCACGACCGCACCGTTCACTTCATTGGCAAGCACTACAGATGCGAACCGTGCCAGATGACGTTCTCCAACAGTACCGCCCTCAGAGTGCACGAGCGCGAGCACACCGGCGAAAAACCGTACCAATGCGATCTGTACATGAAATCGTTCACCGCAAAGGGCCACTTGAAACAGCACAAGTACCGGCCCACAGCCGAGAAATCGTACGAATGCCAGCCGTGCCAGATGTCGTTTCGTTCTGCTAATGCCCTCAAAGTGCACGAGCGCGAGCACACCGGCGAAAAACCGTACCAATGCAATCTGTGCTTGAAATCGTACACCCGAAAGAGCTACTTGAAACAGCACAAGTGCCGGCCTACAGCCGAGAAATCGTACGAATGCGCCGAGTGCCAGGAAACGTTTAGCACTAAGCGTTCACTGAGAGAACACTTGCTCAACCACATCAGTGACGACCCGTATCAATGCAAACTGTGCTTGAAATCGTACACCCGAAAGAGCTATTTGAAACGGCACAAGTGCCGGCCCACAGCCGAGAAATCGTACGAATGCCAGCCGTGCCAGATGTCGTTTCGTTCTGCTAATGCCCTCAAAAAGCACGAGCGCGAGCACCCCGGCGAAAAACCGTATCAATGCAATCTGTGCTTGAAATCGTACACCCGAAAGAGCTACTTGAAACTGCACAAGTGCCGGCATACAGCCGAGAAATCGTACGAATGCGCCGAGTGCCAGGAAACGTTTAGCACTAAGCGTTCGTTGAGAAAACACTTGCTCGACCACGTCAGTGACGGCCCGTATCAATGCAAACTGTGCTTGAAATCGTACACCCAAAAGAGCTACTTGAAACTGCACAAGTGCCGGCATACAGCTGAGAAATCGTACGAATGCGGCGAGTGCCAGGAAACGTTTAGCACTAAGCGTTCGTTGAGAGAACACTTGCTCGACCACGTCTGTGACGACCCGTACCCATGTAATCTGTGCCAAAAGTCGTTTGCCACGTGCGTTGAGTACATAAACCACAAGAGCGTGGATCACGGGAGTGGAACCTTCATACCCCGAACTACCCCTCCGTGGTTGCGAAAATGAGCACAGAGATGTGACATAGAGACATAGGTCAAAGCTGGGCATGTATCGTCTTAGGTTAACCGGCCACTAGGACCATCCCGACTTACAACCTTGCCTTCAGCTTTCCCTATCCGATGACTGTATTTTCAAGTCTAAACCTCCTCCTAAATTTAATATCTTATACATCTATTATATATGTTATATTTTTTGTTTATACAGAAGTAAATTTATTTATTTTATTTTATACAGAGCTAAATGATAAAAATTAGGTTTTTTCAAAATTTTTTATGTTATTGTATTATTGTTATTTCAATATTAACAAATATATTTATAGATATTTTTTACAAGTTGGCATTTTTGTGCTTGTGTTTGTTGTAAACCAACATTTATTTTGTTTTATAATTTATTTTAGTTGTGTATTTAATTTTAACGGACTTGTAATCTTATATCTTTAACAACTATGTTTATGAACTTCTTGTAATAAAATAAATACTATATTGTAAGTGGTAAGAAAATTATTGTTTAGGACAATGTACTAATAATAAGTACCTATGTTATTGTTATACAATAAACCATGACAGTCGTAGATTTTATTAATAAAAACGTATGTCCTTATCCGAGTTGCTGATTAGATTGTAAAAATTGATCGAATAAATTGTGGATAGAGGAAAATGAAAAAGGTGGACTAAATTTAACTATTTCTGCTTTTTCAAGCTGAAATTCCAAAACACATTTTAGTATGTTTAATAAGTGTCTGTAAATTATCTGTGTTCGTGTTTGTTAATTATTTTGTTACTACTGCCGGTTTTAATTGAAATAGTCTAAAATTCAATCAGACTACAGACGTGAAAGTCCAACTAATTTCTCTTCGATAAACATAATAGTAGCAAAGTAATAAACTATGGTGTTTAACAAGTACTAAAAAAAAAATTATAGGTCTTTATGATCATTTTGAAAAACCCATTTTCGGAATCTAGACCACTGTGCTGGCAAATAAACAAAGTCTATTTGTTCAGGTTTACAAACTGCGTGTGACGCTCACAAACTACAGTGTACAGAATATAATCGCCGCACGACGAATAACACAATAGTGTGTGTATCTGAGCGTTTAAAGAGAGCAATGCGTGGCTCATCGTTGTTACTGTGTCTGGCGGTTGTTTGCGTTATTCGACAATCTTGTCAGCTGCCAGGATCTTGTCAGGAACGGTTGCTGGAATACGTCGGTTGGCGCGCCAAAGCGTTGCTGAACCAAGCGGCCAACGAAGACTGGAAAATATTGGAGTATCGTTTGCACGACGGCACTTGCTACACCGATGCGAGCGTGCGGTGTGTGGTCAAAGCGGAAGTCCGGGCCACCGGAACCACCGGAACCATGGCTTCGGTCCGCGACACGTTGGAGACGTACAGAGACACCGTGCCCTGCGACGACAGACACGTTCCCTACGACAACAAGGCGCAGCCACAGCTGAGGGGAAGGTATTTCATAGCGGTCGTGCTGCGGGACCAGAGCGGCGGCGCCACACCGGCCGGGCTGAGGTTGAGCGACGCGCTGTTGGACTACTACTGCGACGGGCAGTACTTGCGGGCCGCGGTCCGGCTGATGAACGCCCTGGAGAGCGCAGCCAACACTTTTGTGCACGGTTTCTGTCAGCTGGTAAGAAGAGGGCAGGCTGAAGGTTCGCCTGTAAAACAATACCGTTACGACGAGTTCTTGTGTCTGCTGGTCGACCACGTCAAGGATATGTTGCGGTACACCTTCGTATCGGTCCGTCCGGTCCAAGACATACTGACGGCGCTGGACCGAAGGAAACGACTGGCGAACGGAGACGAACACTTTGAGACGGCGTGCAAAGAGTTTTCGCAGCGATACGGCAACACGGTCGGTTATGTCAGGCTTGACGAGTACAAAAGCCTGGGATTGATCCCCCAAGACGCAGACCGTTTGAATGCCCAAGACGCACTGGAACGAGACAGTTTGAATACCGAACATAAGGTCGACGACCAAGACCGTTTGAATACCAATGATAGATTTATTAGTATCGAAAATGAAATCGACAACGACGGTATCGACGACGAAATACAACAAATCATGGACGCCGCAAGATATGTGTTTCGAAACCAACGGAAAAATAAATTACCATTACAATAGTGCCATCATTAAACACAGAATTGGTCTAAAACGGTCGTCCCACTTTGTTTCAATCACTCTTAGCATTATATTTTTCTTTTTTCTTTTACTTTTCTCCGCTTATATCTTGTCAATGTTTATATTTGTACTAATTTACATGTACTTATCATAATTGTTGAGCTAATTATTATACAATAAAGACTAAAAAAAAATCAATTAATTTACTTTGTATTTTTTTTTATACTAACGTCAAGGGCCATAGTAATGAAATAGTTACATTAAAACCATAAGTAAGATAGTATTAACTACAGTTTGTCATGTATTTTTCTGTCATAGAATATCGATTAGGCGTGTCTCTATTCACACATTGCATCAAACCAAATTTTGATAACCTCACAACCCAAAAAACACAAATAGCGCTTTAAACACTACAAACGTGGATAGCTGTATATTTAAACTATTTTGTACATTAAGATACAATATTAAATTATTAAATTGTCCTAATGTAAAAATTTTTAAATTATTACTTAATATTACATTTAATTTGACTGTATGGAAAATGTATAACAATGCTGTTTTCTTAACTGCGACAAATTAAAGAATGAAAACGAATTAAATGAATTTATTAAGAGATCAGAAAATATGAATACAATAATGAAAAATGTGTTAACTAGAAAACAAGACGTACGTAAGTAAAAAAAAAATTTTTTTTAAGTATTATTATTGGATTTCATACAAAATTTGTTTTGATATAACAAATGTAACAATATTATGGTGCTATCATGCAAGCAAAGTTCAAAAACAATAATTATAAAACTAGGCATTGCTAAAAAACTACTTGTTTTCTATAAAAATTGTATTTGTGTAATACTTAAAAAAATATGTGATGCTAACAGGTTTTTTTTTTAAAACGTTATCAAACGATCCAAAATGTATCGTCGGCTTTTGTACAACACATACAATTTAACTAGAGTTAAAAATGATTTAAATAAAGAAAAACAAGAGATAAACAACTCCTTCTGGGAGTTCTAATTCATAATAGTAATACTAATAACAATAAATGTATACATAAATATGTTTAAATTAGAAAAAATAAATTAGGTAATACTTAGTTGTAACAGCTTGGTCGAACAGTGCCATTTTTTTCTTAAACCACATTGTTTAATTGTAAAATGTATTTTCTGGTTAACTGTATCTCAATGTACAAAATGTATTAAAGTTATTCGCTATAGTAATTGGAACATCAGAAATTAGTTCAAACACAACCAAATACTAGACAAAACAAAGTACTTAAAAAAAAAAAACACTCGTTTTCTATAAATGACAAACCAGAAAATTTTATGACACTGTTTGTAAATTTTGCGTTTACGCACCATAGAAACTTAAGTCATAAATAATGTGATAAAGCAATGAAGGTGTCTTAAAAAACAATAATAAAAACCTATATAAAAAATGACGAAGAAACACTTTAAATAATGTAATAAAATGTATCGTTAGCTTTTGTGTAAACATAAGATTTAACTCAAATTGAAAGACTCCAAATGTCTCAAAATTAGTCACTATGACGCATATTATGTGTATATTCACTTTCAATGTACATTATACACATAGTATGTATTTTTTGTACCCTGTCTCATTGTGGATAAATAATTGGATAATAATTAACAAACATAACGCTTTTCGTTCTCCTTAACAACACATTTTGCAAAAAACTACTTTTATAAACCGTTTTGAAAAACGACGTTGTAAAATAATGCTGTACAAGTATAACGGTATTTGCTCGAGGTTGATGGTGAAAAACCCGGTTAGACACATTTTAATTATTGTATAATAATCAATAGCAAGGTATCTAGTCTCCAGTAGTGTCATCTTCCTAATTTAATATATCTACAAACGAGTTTGGCCGTGGTGGCTTCGATTACTTGTGATCGTTTTGTCAATATATTCTACTTGGGGAACACGGCACGAAGACTAAACTTTTCAGCAACAGTCTTATTGTACAATAATTAGACTTTTATAATTTCCTTACCAATTTTAACCAATTTTGTTAGGTATCGAAGCAGATATAATAACGTTTGGAAGACTTGTTAGATCATACACCAATAATAATAATCGGTGTACAGCTAAAATATATTTTCCCGTTATTTAACATTATAATATAAACAAACAGTAATTCAATATAATAATAATAATAATAATAAATAATATTCGTTTAATAATTGTTTTTTTTTATTTTTACATTGAGGCAGAAGCAAAATTTTAAGTTACATTCGTAAGTGTTTTGTTGTTTTGGTCTTGTATTCAGGAAAGTTCGGAAAAAAGGGATCTATTCTTCTTCCTCTTCTTCTTCCTCCTCCTCCTCTTCCTCCTCCTCTTCTTCTTCCTCTTCCTCTTCTTCCTCCTCCTCTTCTTCCTCCTCCTCTTCGACCTGTAACGGAAAAATGAGAATTTTTAAGTATACACCAAACTAATGTTGTCTAAAAATCAATCGCATCCTAAGTATTATTACTCACCTCTTCTTCGGCATCATCCGTAAGAGCGAAGGGTTCTTCTTCGTCTTCCTCGTTCTTTTTGAGTTCTTCTTCTTCTGGTGTTTCTGGGTCGTCCTTCTTCTTGCCTGGACGTTCGCCGAACCATTTCGGTAGCCGTCCTACGTTAGACATAAGACATAAGTACAGTAAGTCAATTGCTTGGCCAACTTATGTTCTGTTAAATTCGGTGTAAACGCAGTGCGGTGGAACGAGTCAAAACCGGGGAATGGTGTCAAAATCAACCGGCCAAATCAAAAACTTACATACCAAGACTTGTAGTATTCGTCGGCGAGCCGGCAACGATAATTCATTGTCAATATTATTGAAGGTTTAAGATCTTAAGATAGTAACTGTATTCTCATATTTAGTTACTTTTAGCGTATCAGCAATAAAGTGTTTAGGCATAGGTACAGGATGACACCCCATCGCGGAGTCCGTTGTTTGGGGATGATGTGGTTCAAGTGGAAGATTCAGATTTGACAACATTATAAAGAAGAGAAATAGTTGAAGAATAAAAATCAGAAATTTAGTATCAGTCGTGCGAAAGAACAGAATAACTGAGATGTGGTTGAACGAGGTGAGAAGAGGCAATCGGTATCATAGTGATTTAAAGCAAAGATAAGATGAAAAGGGGTAATCCTTTATTAACTCCTTGGATACACCACTATAAATAATTAAGCTAACGATATAGTTAGAGCGTTAGGGGGTTTTCTATGGACAAAAAAGTAAATACCAAATGGATATAATTAGTAAGAATTCACAGCGCAGTCTTGGCGCCGAGGAATTTTGTTGTGGCCGTTGAATTATTTTTAAAACGTCCACGCATTCCGCGTTAAAATACACACATGGTATTTTGTTTGTACACATCAACTGATATTGTCTGCTACTTTTGGCTCGGGCTAATTATACATTAAAATATGTAAATAATTCTCCACCGAATGTCTAGCCTTACAGAAGCTGATGAAGGATCACATATAGTGCCGGTGTACTTACCCTTGGCACGGCCTCCGAACTGATCGCTCCTTTCGGTCCATTGTTTCTCCATCGACTCTTTGTTAGTTTCCATGTAGCCCTAAAAAAAAACCAAAGCAAACCAACGGGTTGGGATGACACGGGGTGCATGCAAACAGGTATAACAACTAACGAGACAACAGAATGCTGGTAGGCGAATAGGTATGTCGACTAAAAAGGGTTGAGGTTGTGCGAAAATGTACAAGAGCGGGTAAGCAGTTGCGCGCTGTTAAACGTTGGACTTGTTTGAAAAAAAAGGTATAAAAGGGTTTGCCCAGAAGTTGAAAAGAACGGGGTGGACGGACAACGGGCATTGTCGTCGCTAAGTTTACATACTTCTACTTCTTTTCATGAACAGTTCGTATCTACGATTCCAGTTGGACTCGTGCTTTTCGCCTATCAACTCTTCCAGACCCTAATGTGTCGTTTCAAAAAAAGAACATTGCTTAGAGTACAGTGTGTCCACTTTAGTATAGCATGACGTTATATAGGCATAGTAACGGTTTTGTTTACTCACTCCTTCGAACAATTTCTTTTTGTCGTCGTACGACCGGGTGTCCACTCGCCTCTCGTACTTGGAAGCGACTTGGATTTTTGGCTGTGGACAAAAGACAAACAACAAACTGGTTAGATTGAGATAAAGCGCATAAACCGATCAGCGGGACACTCACTGGGTATTTGCCCGTAAGGGCTTCTGGGTCAAGACCCTTCTTGAGGGCTTTGTGGCGGAGCTGTTGCTTCTGACGTTCTTTCAACTCTTTCAACTGAAACGACAAAAAGGCACGTTAGCAGCGTCCGGTTAGTTTGGCACACCACGGGCTTATCCGGTGAACCTCCTTACGTCGTAGTCCTGTCTTTTTTGTCTTTCTTCCAGATCGTACTTTTCGGTTTCCAGCTTGACGATCTGGTCCCAGAGTTCGGCGGCTTTGAACTGGAGCTTTTGCACCGACAGGTTTTCAATGACCAAAGGTTTGATTCTGAAGCTCAGCGAGATTTTCTTCTCTTCCTCGATTTGCTCTTTGGTCTTGTTGCGTTCCAGTTGGGCGGACGACATGTTTAACTGTGGGACGGGGAAAATTTAAATACTTAAATCATTTCGCTCATAATCAGGTCAAGTTGTATGAAAATGCATTGAGCCAATCGCGATGAGCTAGGTGGGGTAGGCAAAACAAATGGGCATTGGTTATAAGACTGGACGAATCGGAAAAGTCGTACCAATAGTAGAGCAATAGTGATGGGAAAAGGTAGACAAAACACATGTGAAAAAGTTATCACATAAAGGTGGACTTATCATTTAAATGACGTTGAGAAAATGGATTTAGCCGAAATTAGATGTCGAAATGGTTGCACACTTTAACTGACTTGGTCGGATAAAATAAGGTTTGAGTTATACACTGGTGATAGATTAGGAGTTTCTCAAATAAAGCAGAGAATAGATTGAAATAGTTTAGGTATGTTAAAATAAAAGGAGAAAATGAGATGGATTTAAAGATCCATCTAAATTTTTCATCAATGAACACTTTCTCCAATGTAATTAATATAAATGAGAGGAATCTTAAGTTTTCAACTTTGGAAGGTATCGGGTACCACCTAGATCTACTTAGCTGTGGCAGAAAATTACAAAATCGACTTACGCCCTCCTTCTTGCTAATGGTGAAGTTGGGTCCCTTGGACTTGTTGGTCTGTTCCTTGAGGGCGGCCATCATGGCTTGGCGTTTCTTTTCGGCCTCTTCCAACCGTTTGCGTTTCTCCTCGATGTCTCTCTGTTTCTTTTCCTCGACTTCCCGCTGTCTGCGTTCTTCTTCTTGCTTTTTCCTCTCGGCCATGCGTTTCTCTTCTTCCGCCCGCATCACCTTGCGCTTGGCCTGTTTTTCTTTCAGCTTCTTCAAGTCATCTTCTTCCTTTGTCCTCTGTTTACGCCACTCGAGGATGTACTCCTTGAGTTGTTCGTCCAAAGCCGAGGACTTTGCCTCTTGCCTCTGTTCGTAAAAAGTTCAATTAATTAGCTCTAATTAACGACAATCCGTTTCGAATGTTTATCGGTTAAGTTACCTTGACGAATTCTGGATCTCCATCGCCACTATTGGTAGGATCGAGAAAAGATAAAAGAACAATCAAATTAATTATTTACAATAGTCCAATAAAGTTTTGTTTATTAGGTTGTTGACACCACAACTTATGTTATGTAATTTTTTTTTGCTGCCGGGGAGAGAGGAGTGTTATTTATATTGTATGATTAATAAATGGGTCATTTGAAAATTTGGCACAAGTAAACTGTAACAGGATATATTGTGAGAATAAAAATACATTTTAGTAACTATGCCATGTGGCCTATCGCCAGGCTTAGCTAATGGTCAAGACATGCAATATACATAATATTAAAATGAAAAATAAAAAATTTGCAAACAAAAATCAGCTTTTTTTTAATACGTGTAAATGTATCTACAAAAAAAAATGTTTTCTAAAATTAGTTACAACAAAAACTTTAAAAACAATTAGGAATTCGATTTCCATTTTACAAAAAACACACAATACTAAGTGCTTCTATATAATATTATTCAACGAGTCACCAATAAAAAAACACATCAACGTGTCGTGTCTCACATACCGTTAAGTTAAGATAAAATATATTAATTATTGAGTATACTAATTTAGCAAAAAAAAAAAAACGCTTAAACTAAATGCTTCTACGTGTATCGATAATTTTTTTTTGCACTAAGCCTTATCAACTTTCTACTTTAAAGAGTTTTTTGGAAAACGTTAAAAAAAATTGTTTGTTTGTTTTACTTTTTTTTTTAAAGTCCCACAGCGGTAAAACTTACTCTTTGCTTTTTTCAGGCTCCGGTTGCCTGCGCCAAAAATTTATCGTTTAAGTATGATTAAAAAAAAAAAAAGAATTAAATTTAAGATCATAGATATATTTATATATATTGAATATATATATAAATATACTCAGTGTGTACATGCAATTGAAGCGCTGTGTTAATAACGCAATAAAAAATAAATACATGTGCGTCTATTGATCTAATGAGGAATCTATATTGGCGTCTACAAGGTTTAAAGTTTGTTATTCTTATTATGGTTGTCGACTGATGGGCGGATATGTATATATTGATCAATTGCATGTGCACACTTTATGTATAATTTGTAAATGATTTTTGGCTTATAAAATATTTACATTTCATCACACACGAAGCGGGCGAGAGTAAGCAAAATAGATATTATTACACTTGGAACCGAAAACAAAAACCCAGTGACAATATTATAAAAAGGATTTGTCAAAAAACATTTACTTGACACTATGTACTATTATTTATTTATTTTTAAATTAAAAATTAACCGTATCCGTGTAAGGTCACTGGGTTCGTATTCAGCTCATATTGTATGTATATGTACAATGCGCACCTGAATCTCTCACAATTATACTTAAACAGTTCTCATCGGTTCACACTACCAATCTAGCCTGTCCACAATGCACTCAAGACACTCTCTCCGGTATGGTATAACAGTATGGTATGATATATTTTTGTGAAAAGCAATTTATAAGCTTTTTAAATAAATAAAAAAAAACAACACTGAGTTCGAGAAACTTACGTTTCCTCCTCGGATTCGCTGAAACATATAATATACCAATGGTTGTGATTAAAACATGACATATTACATCTATTATCTCCTTATTAATGTACCTAATTATGTAAAGTTTATTTAACGAGCTTCAGAGACGCCTACGCTTTGCACAAGATTTTCGCTTGCAAAATATTGTTGTTCGAAAGTCCAATGCTACATTTGAACAGAACAATAGCAATAGCTTATCGAGGAGAGAAATAGTAGTCTGGTACACTAACTAAGAGTTCATAAGCTATAACGTTTAAGTTCGGTTAATTCGAAAAAACTTGTTAAAATAAATAAGAAGAAAATAAACTCGACTTGAATAGGTAAGATAAATGTTAATAATAACTATTGACATATCTTAACGCCCAGCCTTGGATTTCTTAAGGACCATAGTCCACCCTTTTAAATTTTAATTTCTTATAAAACTGTGTTATATATTGATAAAATGCCACTTGCAGCGATTTTGAAATTGACAACCTCATTATCTGAATATCATCAATTTTTAAATTTAGATAGATTTTTTTTTAAAATCTATTAGTAGATTCTATTATGTAGATTTTTTTTTTTAAAAATCTATCTTTCAAGTTCAATTATAGTTGTATTGTTGTTTGAACGAGGCGTGTAAAAATTGAGGTAAAAAAAAATAGTCTCAAGTCGATGACACATGTAATACAAAAGGAATTGTATGTTATTCGTGCAAAGGTATCACATTCATACAATATGAAAATATTATGTATATTGGATACATTCGGATAACGCGGAATTACCAAAAATAACTCACAGCATTTAAAAAAACATGCCTTAAAGACAAGAGTGAGTAGTAGGTATATTTATATACTACTAGAGCGGCAGACTATTAATTAAACTAAAATAACATGTAATTAGAAACGTTTACGTTAAAATATTTTCACAGAACTCAAAACAAAACTTGTGTGAAATTAATGAGTACTTAAATTGTGAACGATATGGATCGTATCGTATTACCTTACAATAACAGGCTATTTTTAAATTGAAAATAAACGACCAATCCAAAAGTGTAGATTAGTCAGTTAAATTTAATATAGAACACAAAATAAGTCTAATTATCTAAGGTCTTGGATGCTTATGAAATTGAAAAATATTTCTAGATACAATTTTATTTTAAACCTAAAAACATTTGGTTTCCACTTACGTTTTTTTTCTCAACAGTTCGGCTTATATTAAAACGCAATTTAATTTTCTTAAATTTTTAGAATTCGAAAATTATTAATATCAAGTTTTTATTTTTAAGAATGTTCCCATGTGACTCGAATGAGTTTTGGATACATTTGAAAAAAAAAAAAAATTATGATATATAAACGCTAATATTGTTATCGGGTAAAAATTTAAAATTGTATTTTTTTAAGCGAATGTTGCTGATTTTAGAATTTATAAAATTAATTTTTTTTTTATTAAAAAAAAAAAATATATAAAATTCTAATTTTTTGACTACTACTTAAATAGGAAACAACGATTTAGCAAAAAATTAATAATAAACAATCACTTACGTGTACTGGTCTTCGTCGTCGGACATGGTGAAGTTTGTTTTTTAGAGAGCCTAGTCTCTGTAAAAAAAAAAAAATCAAAATAATTTATTTAAAAAATCAAAATGAAATAGCACAGGACTCGTGCGTTTGTCCTGTGTATTTTTTTATTTGAAAATGGGCACACACTCGACGGATGCCGGTGTGAATGCGTTAATTTGGAAAATATGTGGGAGGGTAGGAGAATCGGATCCCGTTGATATATTTTTAGCCGCCGAGGCACCGGTCTGCCAACATTGCCTTTTTACGACCCACAAACTCCTGACACCAGTCTATTTATATAGAAACTCGGCACCGGGTTTGTACGCAAAAGGAGTATAGAAAAAAATTCGTGTGTACACACACAATTCCACCGAGCGGCCAAGTCGAATCGATATAGTTTTTCCGGTAAAAGGCTAACAAAAAAACCAATAAAAAAACTCTATTTCCTGCCACCGGTTGACTTTGGTTTCCATAAGAACGAAAAAAAAACCCCTTCTAATCCTGGTGTTCCTTAGTAACATCTCAATGCCCCGCTATTGCAACATGAATATACTGAATTGTATGTGATACATGAATTGTATCACAGAGTAGATTATTGCTATCCTAACAAACTATACGTTTTGTACATAGTTAAAAAAAATTGTTTAAAACCGCCAATAAAAAAAAAAAATGTAATTTAGCACGAAGTTTAGAACGCCCGGGTTGATGACCAGGTTGTCCTGTCGGGAAAACTTTAATAGTACATTTAAAAAAAAAACCGAGTAGATTATGCGAAAAACGATTTAGGAGTCAATTACTGGAATCTAGCTTTGATTCACTTGTGCTCTGAACCTTCCAAATAAAAATTTCTTTTTTTTGGTTATTTCTATACAAAAAAACATTGTTAGTCAAGTTTTAAGAAATCCGCATTTACATTAATTTTAAGTAAACAAACGAGCAAATGAATAAAAGTTTAAAAATACAAAAAAAAAATGGCTCTCAACTTGTACCTTACTCGGATCTTATTATACCCAACTATGTTTTGGACAATGCACCCACCCAAAAATTGCTTTCTGTTAGGACAACAAACAAAAAATACAAGGGAAAAGACAAATAACAACACAAATTGTTTAACCAAATGGAAACAGACCGAGATTATAATATGTACAGTTTTCTTTTAAGCACATGTTAATGTGTATCTATAACTTGCTATGTGGGTCGAATTGTTTTAAAAAATCGTATTCGAATTACCTTGGTGGAAATTCTAGAGGGGAGGGGGAGGCTCGTGACACTAAAAACCTTAACACATTAGGATTATTGCTTAGTACAAAATACCTACGTTTATTTTTTGGGAGAGATTCTTTGAAATAAAAATATAAACCCAGGCCGAACGGCGCTAATTTTAAGTTTTAAGGTTTTGTAGTATCCAAAGTCCCCTTTCCCCTGAATTTCCCCCAAAGAGTCGAAAGTGATTTGAGTGTATAAACAGGCCTCTAACTCGTGCCCATTACAACAGGTAAGGCGTGTGAGGATTAAAGTAAAAATAAAATTATTATAGTACATACACACACACAAAACATAGTACAGAGATTGCGTTAAACAATTTTTAAAAAAATGTTCTATTATGTTATCTGTGTAAAAAAATAAACGTTGTACTTACAATTAAAAAATACAATATGTATACCAACCGAGATGCGACTGACGTCTGTGCAAGACTGTTGCGGGCTCGAGGTTGCTCTAATTGATTTGTCCCCACCAACTGGCACCGCAACGATGGAAATCTATCCGGGATATTTTTGGCATTCCAGTATTTCTTTTAAGCACCACATTATTGTTTTGGATGGTAAATGTAAAAACGACCATTCCATGATCCGTTCGACGACACCGAAGAAACTGTGTCAAACTGTGAGAACGCCACTAAACATATTATTTTACATATATTTCTACTATTTTTACATCTCTCAAAACATTAACTCGGACTAATTAACCGTGTAGATATTCTGTATTTCACGGTTGTAGGCTACAATTCACAATTTATTATTGACAACAATCGTGTGGGCGCAATTTTGGAGAGGGGAGGTTTGGCCTTTTTAAAAAATTGGTTGTGTGTACAAAAAACTGTATAGAATGGGATGGGGGCTTATAATTGAGTCCCTTAGTGTAGTCTGAGTTGAGAGATATTAAACAAACATATTATATTTTATACATACCGAGAGATTCTTTTAACCACCTCCAACTAGTTAACTCTTAAAATAATTACAATTTTGTAGTGTTTTTTTTTTACTTCTCACATACTTTTAAAATATAAATATATTTAAATATTCAGTACAGTTTGCATTCAATACCAAAAAATTGTACAATGTATTAAATGTTTGGAAATAATAGTATTTAAACACCAGCACTCGAATACTTTACAAGTTGCAGCAATGACTAATTTTGTAGGTAATTTAAATATTAAAAAAATTAGTTTATTGATTATTTTTAATTAAAAATTATCTCAAATTTACTCAACATATATTTCGTATATAATTCCTTTTATTTAAAAGTAATCTTAAATAGTTTATTTTTTATAATTTAGACAGTAAAAAAAAATTAATAAATAGAAGAAAAAATTGTGTTGACAATAACAAACAATAAAATAATTTTGTCGTTAGTAATCGAATAATTAAATTATAGATAATTTTTTATCGTTCAATGTGAAAATTTTTTTTTAAAAATAATCCTCAACTTTGTATACAATAAATACAATAATATGATGTCTAATAAATAATACCAGTACCTGGTTAAAGTAAGTTTTTTTTTGTTCTCATAATTTATACCAAGACAAAATGGCAACACACTTGGGAGAGGAATTTATTTCAATTTCAGAATTTGTTGTATGAGTAAACTATTTAATGAACAAGTTTGAACTTTAGTACGTGGTTTAAATTTAAATTTTATTTCATCACCTTAAAAAGTGTATGCAATTTGTTTATTATGTCTGCCATTACAATTTTATCAGCACTTATCAAGGTAACCTTTCTTAATTTCCATTGTATACATAATACTGGTATACAATATTGAAGGGTAATTTTTTTGCTTAAACTAAAATCAAGAAAATTGTTTAATTGAATTTAAAATACAAAAATCCGATTAAACCGTTTTTATTTTTGTAAAATATCTAACACAAAAAAATGTGTGTTACAATGTTTTGCATTAAAACAAAAATAAACTCCAAAAACGGTTTACAATGAATATTGTTATTTAATTAGAGAACCTTTGATTACTTTTTTTTTAAATTTTAAAATAGTTATTGATTCTATTTTGGCAAAGTTTCATTTGCTAAAAAGCAATTTTTAGTTTGTTTATCACAGTAGAACTCAAGGTCATTTTAACGTATGCAATATATTTTGATTATTATACAGCATCATTTAATGTCAACAGATGAACAAAAGAAAATTACTCCCTATTTGTATTATGAAAATAAAATTGTATTTGTGAAATAAATAAAAAAGTATTTGTGTAACATAAGTTTTAATTTTACTTAATTTCAATATCGTACCAACATATCATTAGACCTGTTTGAATTTATAATACACGTAATTGTAATAATATTTGATCCAACAATACAACACTCCAATACTGTTATGGAATGAAGTGAGTAACAATGGCAGAAAAGGATATTTTTTCTTTACACCGAACAACGGCAGTCCGATATCGGTAAACATTAGTAACGGTCCAAGACTTATTAAATAATATCTCTCTATAATATTTGACGAATTAAATTTACCAGACTTAAACAAAAAGTATACATTAAGTAAAAGCAGCAAGGTTTTCGTGAGGAACTCAAATGGTTCGAACAGTAACGGGAACACAGAGTACGTGGCGACGGTCGATAGAATGGCAAAAACTGCGCAGTCGGTTGACGAAATGTTAATTAATAATCTGAAAAATACATTCGTTAAATATTTTCGAAACGTTCATTTTGAATAAACTCACGTTAACGGTATGACGGCCAGGAGTAGTGCTTTTTCATGAACATGCCAACCAAACATGAACGACGTTAGTCCGCACAATACAAGACATCGAACGAAATCGGTGCGACAATTTTTTGACTTCCATAATTTGTACAAACACGGCTGGAAAACAAAAACATGTAATTAAAGACAGTAGCAAACAATCTAATAATGAAAAAAAAGTACAATTACATATATTATTTAAAGCTCTAAATGAAATCTTACCAACATAAAAATTAATGTTAAGATGAAAGTAGTTGGCGGTGTAATTGACGGCAGAATTAAGTGTTCGAATTCTTGTACTAATCCCCCAGTCATAGATGTGGTATCATTAGTTTTAACGATGCCCAACCATTTAACTAAAAAAAATACCTTTAGTTATTACTAAATACAGACATCAAATTGTATATAATATTAAAAATTGTACGGCATTAGGCTCGCTAGGGTGGACGAGGCTTTAAATTTAACATTAGTCAACACAACTTTCGAGTTGTTATAGGTTCAAGTTTTTTGGTAAAATGATAAAGGCATTTTTTTTTACATTAAAAGCAATAATTATTATTACTGGTCGGTGATTTCATAATAAACTAGTTATTACATGTTATTTTGGCTCCGATGTCAGCTGTGTTGTAGAAAGCCCAGAAATTAGGTGCCCAATACGCATGAGACAGACCTCGTTTAAACGGAAATAATTGATGTAAAACCTAATAGGAACAAAAAAACCACACATTAATTATTCAAACAATACAAAACTTTTACACGATAATATCACCTGGAACAACTCGCCATTTAGAACAAACGGCCCGAACGACAGACCAAATACTGCCAAAACAATAATGGCCAGTGTTGATAAACGTCGAAGCGCTATTCCCTTACTTTGTGTGAGACAAAAGTGTTTCAAGAGAAATAAAAAATATGCTGGTGCTAAGTATAAATAAATATGCTTGAAGTTCAGCAGAACGGAAAACCAAAACGCACCGCGATAATTTTCACCCTAAAAAAATAATAATAAAAAACAACAGTTACCACAAAATTGTAAAGTTATTCCATTAAAACTAAATTTTACCTTTAAAATGTGCGATATAGATATGAGGAGTATTCCGAATAGGAAACCATTATACTGAAAGTGTATATGGTCGAGTAATAACAATGTAACATTAGCTATAAGCAAAATTTCAACAAACGTTTCGTTCTCGTCACAATTTTTCTTCTTTCTATTTTTTGACAGTACCATAGATGTAACACATCGGGCACACCTGCAAAGATCGAAATGCTCTAATTAGTTGACTATTGGATGAATATTTGTGATACATGACATAATACTAAAATGTTTAACAGTTATTACACATAGACCAAATTTCCTTTAAAGTCACAACATTAAATCGAGCTTTAAACAACACTTTACAATAAAGTTATTGTGACAAATATAACAATAAGATGAATAAGGTTAGGACTGACCTTTGAGATCCATAAAATAAGACAACATCTGTTATAATAATGCTGAGTCGTTGAAAAACAATCGTAGCTTTAGACGAATAATTCAAGTTGTGTATCGACAACATGTCCACATCGACGTACGCTGCTATTTGGGCTAAAATATATTCGAACCAGGCAAATAGTGGAGGGTAATCTAATGTCCATTCTGAATGTTTGGCCGAGTACCACTCCTTCAATGGAAGACTGTAGGTTGTCGCTAGCCAATTGCGGTGGACTTCGAAATCGGTCGAAAAACTTCAACAAATTGACAATAGTAATAATAATTTCAAAAAAATAAAAACATAATATATTAACAGCGAGCTTTAAACTTACTAAGACGGTAGAAGAAGTAATTTCACACAAGTCAGCAAAACGTACATAACTTGTGTCATTTTGGAATTTTTATCAATGAAACATAACGGAGTTCGTAGCGATAAAATTTTATCAAATCAAAACTGAACGATATAAACAAAATATATGCATATTAAGACGTCGTCACCAAGTCCAATAGTGCATCAGTGCTTGCAGTAAATTTTTTTTTATTTCTAAAATTCATGCAAAATCGGCTAAGTTTGAAAATTATAACAACAACCGGTACATCATGATATTTTTTATCACAATATTTCTTATCAAACAACATTATAACCTGTGGCATGACAAAAGTAATAGGTGTGTTGGCAAAATTGTGTTATCAATGTTTTAAATATGGCTTCCGGTGTTTTCCCGTAAGATATAAAAGGCCGGCGGCCATTACAAGTTGCTGACATACCTATTTGTTATGTTTTGACCTGCAGGCATTAAGCCTGATAACAGTTAACAAATATTATTTTTAAATTAAATTTTAAATGAACACCTTCTTTTACATAAAATAAAATATAAATACGTTGTACAAATTTATATTTTAAGCAGTTAATAAACATTAGTGATTATATCTAGTTTAACAGCATAAAACCGTGCTTAAATTGAGAATTCGAGTAAAAATTATAATATTATGTGATCAAACCTGAGAATTTTTTATTTAAATGACAAAATTTAATAATAACTTGTTATTTTAAGTATAAAATTGAAAATGTACTTAAATTATATTTTGGATACTTGTATTAATATATGCACAAATTTAAAATTATTATATGAGTTTTTATTTTTAATCATTTTGGTTAAATAACGCCCAAATTTGATCTGCATCATAAAGCGCGTTAAAACAAAAACAAAAGATAATATTATGTTAAAATAAATTGGATATTTATTTGTTACTTATGTCAATAACATACAAATATTTAACTAGAATATAGATTATAATATATGGTTATATAAAAATAAAACATTTTAGTCTTAACCATAATGAAGTTTTATAACATATGCATAACAGCATTCAATGTAATTCTCAATAATCAATTAATTCAAACACATAAAATGTTATTACTCAGTCTATATAATATTGAGTATTAGTATATAAATTAAGAATACTGTTGTGTGAAGATATTTGTTTTTTCCTCCTATAACCGTTTTTTTTTTTGTACTTGAGAAATATTATATTTCATACTTTTAGTTGAAAACATTTTGACAATAAGAAAATCTAGGAAATGTTTAAAATCTACCCCACCTTGATATTAATTATTAATCTGTAATAAGAAACAGCTAAATAATATGATAATATGCTTGTTAACTTTTATACAAATATCGATTATAGTTTCTAGAATATAATCAACCCATCAAGGATGAAATAAATTTTTTTTTAATTCATTAAACTTAATGATTTTTATACGTCAAATTCAATATATCTCTTAACAGTATCATATGGAGCCATTCGTTCTTGACGAGTTAACATAATGTATATATATATATATATATATTAAATGTGAATGGTCGTGTAAAACTCTTTTAGGATTAAGTTAAAAAATTAGTAGAAACTAAAATTAAAATTATTTTGTCTAATAGAAATATATCAAGTTAAGATATAAAACAATCGTGCATAGTATTTTTAACGCAAGCATATTGTCAATTAGTTTCACAAGAGTTAATGTGTTTTTTTAATATGTCATCATAGAATGAGGAAAAAACTTTTCTGTTGTACGTGACCAGTTGTAGAAAACTGCCAGCAATAGTAGCCAATTCGTCTTTGAACGCCGACAAGCCGAGTGGACATTGTTGAGGAGTCGCGTTGTTGCAGCTAATGACCGCGACAATAAACTCTTTAAAACGTCGCTCTGAAACGACAGAACGGATTACTCGTTGGCGTTCTCAAGTACATTCGAGTTGAAATAAAAATAAAAAATGAAATTCATAATCATTACCGACGAGCGTTCTAATCTTATGTTCGGGTTCCTTGATGGACAAAACTTGAGATTCTAATGAAGTCGTCACGTCTTGAGACAAAGGCGGTCTGTCGATTGACGCTAAATACTCGTTTGTATCTTTAATCGCTTGTTCAACAATATTCGGCAACAACGAATAGATATCTCTGGAAATTAATTATTTTAAAATTTAAAGCGTATTTGAGCCTTCAAGAAATTTTCGATTTGAAATGATTTTGTTTTTAACTTACTTGTCCGTTTTGTTGTCTTTTAGTACTACTAAAATATGGTTTTTTAAAAGTTTCTTGAATTCCGGATCGTTTGGTATAGTGTTACTTATCGATGATATCGTGACGATGAATGCCGAAGCAGTGATTATTAACAGCTCGAGAATTTTATTCACACTCAAGTATCTCTCTTTGTCTAGCCCTAGAGCCTGAAAAATTGTACTAAAATGTAAATAATAATGTGCATAGAGTAATCTGACAAGTTATTCAGCAAGGCTGTACAACAATGTTTTCAATGTCTACGGTCACATTACCTCAGGAAATATAACATTTTCGTCCCAAGTAAATATTTCCAAATAAGCTCTCGTCATAATACTGTTGTACGATTCGGACGGTGTCTCTGGGTTGATATGACGTTTCAGCCATTCTTCGGTCAATGTTAAAGCGTCTGTACAGAATGGTAATAAACGAATACGGTGTAATAATTAACAAAATACATTATACAAGCGATTTTACCAGGTTTAACTTTCAGGTACTCTGCAAACTTCTCTCGTTCATAATCGGCACTACAAGCATTGAACGCACGTTTTTGCGCATTTATTGTAAAATTAGCCATATCCAGTTTCATCAAACTCAAAGTCTGTAAACAGCAATATTCACATTTACTCGTTTTCGAGCCTAACCTGGCCGACAACAAAACATTAACAAACCGACAAAAAAAAAAAAAAATTACCTCGATTATTCCTCTGAACACTTCGACCGGATCTTTTAACATGGAAAGAACATTAATTGAATCGTCTCTCACCGGAGCACACATTGTCTTCATAAAGTTCAATATAAACTTGGTGTAATACTGTGAAAAGAAATGGTATAATTTCATTAGATTTTCGATTTGATTAAATTACAATTATCAGTATAATTACTTCAAAGTCTAACGAATCGTTGTCTATTTGATTTTGTATAAATTGAACGTCCAACACGTTATTTATTTCATCTTTAACCTTAGTGTGTTGGTCCAACAATAAACTCAATAAGCTCTAAAACATATTAAATTAAAAATTAAAAAAAAAAAAATTTGATTACCTGTTTAGTACAATAATAATATCGGAAAAAAAACAATACCTCTCGAATTTCTTCCAGGAGAATCATGGCTTGCGAATATACAGGAGGATCACTATTCAACTGGGCACGTAGAAGATCCCAGAATGCTTTGTGCATGGTGTCCTTAACTTGTTTCATAAGACTAATGTCGTAAGGACAAAAATAATTTCACAAATTAGTACATTGTATTTACTGTCGGCGTTGTTACTGACCACACCTCTCATCTGGATGTTCCTGCGGTTGTAACTTGAAATTTTCGTTAACGGCAATTTCATGAACTAACGCAATATCCTCCAACTTCTTAGCCGCTACCATAATTTCGGGCAACGACAGGAATTTAGGAGGCGACGCATCAGTCATGCTGTTGAGCCTAAAAAAATATACAATACGGTTATAATAGAATTAGTTTAAAAAACGTTTAAAGCTAAATCACTTTTAACAAATTAAACAAAATGATTCTAGTTATTATTTGACATATAAGACAATCAAACATACATTTCTCGACGAGGCCCGGGAATAGGCTTTGGTGCAGACGATTTATCATCTTGACTTTGTTCGTTCGATCCAGTTTCTGAATTCATTTTACAATAAATTCAACTGGCAATATTGAGTTAAAAATTATCTGAAATAAAAATTAGTTTGTGTAAATTTACAGTTAGAAGTATAATACTTAAGTTTTATGCTTAAATGGAAAATTTTTATGATTACAACGTTACACTCGAAGTGAATTATAAGTGCAAAATAACTATATGATAAATTTGATTACTGATTACAATAATAAATCAAATGTTAAATGTTTTGTATTTCTCAAAAACGTTATCAATCACTGATGACAGTTTCTATGGTATATTAATGGTTTGTGAATACACAAATAACATTTTTTATGTATAAATAAATAATTTAAGAGGTTTAAATGAAAAAAAAAATAATAAGTCAAAAAAGCAACGTATTACATACGTTTTAAAATTAAAATCAATAAATGTGAATACTTTTTTATTTTTGTTAACCAAAATAATAAATAACTTTATAACAAACATTAATATGGGTACAAGTAAATAATTATTTATAAAGTATATATTAAAGATACACAACACAAATATTAATAATTGTACCTACTTACCTATTGAAAATAACAAACTACTTAAAGCGTATAATACAAGTATATCACCAACAACAAAGAATAATCTTTAAGGAAGTGAAAAGATTTCGTGCTCAGAAGGAAAATCCAACTTGGAAACCCAAGGCCTACCCAACTTTACCTTATGCGTTTTAAAAAATGTAAACAACGAAACTGAACAATGTACATCCGTTAAAGGCAATAATTTAAGACTCGGATAATATTCCATTAAGCGTTGTAATATTTTGATAGTATTAACTTACACAATCGGTAGATCTGATAGTGTTTTGCAGAATCGGAATGAGAATTTAGTTAAAAAACTACTTAGGTGAATACCAATTTAATCAATTTTAAATCGCGCTAATACGGTTATAAGTTATTGTTTTTGACTAAACATCGTACAAATTTTTAACAATAATAATATTTTGTTTTTATTGGCATCAGCTGATGCTGATCGATTTAATGTGATAGTAGTTGTACAGTTCTTATCAACAGTTCCAACACAGTGTTGCCATATAGCAGAAACATAATAATTTTCAGTTTAAACGAAAATGATATTATACAAGTCCCAAACGGTCTTCAAAGAGAATTATTGTGAAACCCAATTGCCGAGAGATAGAAATAAAAAAGGAACAGACGCTAGAATTTAGAAAACCCGTATATTGGCTTCTTAAAAACTCCTCAATATTATCAAATAAAAAGATCAAGTTGGTGTAAGTAATAATAATTACAATTACACAAATAGACAAAGCGTGGTTGCAATTTTTACACGCTTCTATAAGTTGCATTGTATTTCACAGACAAATCTTGCACCTATAATCAATATTTGACCCTCTTCCTGGCTAGAAATCCCTTTGAAATAGTCATCGGCTGGCTTTTTCAATACAAAATCATTGAGTTGCCTAAGCAATTTATCATTTATTAAATTGTTCGTTGGATGACCAACTGAGACATTTAAAAATATATTGGGCCCCTTAACCCCCCCCCCCAATGTTTTGGCCCTGCGTCTTACTATTATAACTGCTGTTTTTCGATCATTAAATGCTTCTCGTGAGGCCTAAACATTTTTATTTTACAAATAATCGCCTCGGAATAAAAATGTATAGACTGGAATCTGAAACAGACATCGTGGTACCTATTTTATAATATATATGTGTTTTATTACATACATACATTTACCATAAGCATGCGTGTGTTCCCTTGACCCGAGTGTGTATAGGTATTGTGCCTTGTATATGACTGAATTCAATCGTTTTGTTGTGTTAAATTTAATTGAAAAAAATTGACCATTTTTGGCCGGACCCCACAGGACGTTTGGTAACCATTGATATGGTTCACTTAAACATATGTCACTTGTAATAATAGAGGTTACTAAATTATACCTCAATTTTTTTCCCTTTAAACGCCTAGCAGAGGTGTAAAGTAAATACTTACAACACCACAGTACCTGCCTAACACTTTGGTTATGCTTCACGTTAATATTGTACAGTTAACAGAAAATATAGTTTAGGTTAGTATTAGTTTTATAGCTTTATAATTTATAGGTTATTTATTTTATATTTATATTGATTATACTGATTACATTACCTGATAAATATACTAAAATTAAATTTTATAAAAAATAATACACTTTTTAACTACACAACCCTCGTCAAGTCACGCTATGGATTTAGGCTTTGTAATTTTTTTTCAATATTCCGTTTATGTACAATCATTAATATTATTCAACGGGTACAAGCAAGGCAATGTACACCTATACAGAAGACCCTCCTCTATAGCTAAGTATAACCGTGCTATTCATTTTAGAAACACATATTATGCATTGTCAAATATCATTATGATATATAGTGGGTATAATATAATAATATGTAAAATATATGCCTACGTGACACGAGCAACTAAAATATATTTTCAATATAATATTATATTCCATTGTTTTCCTAACCCAAATTGAAAACGTTACAACATTCAAATACATTGTTTGATGTACCTATACATATTTATTTGTACACTAATAAGATTTACTACACAAACGGACAGAGAAAAATACGAGCCAAAACTATGTCATTGGCCATCACATTTAAATCACGATATGATTTCACGGTTTTGTGGCAATAATAATAGATATCGTAGGTATATTATTTATTTGTACTCATTAGTATTCAGAAGTGCGTGTCATGTATATTTCAGACATGTGCTATAGTATGGATAATGACAAATAAAATTTTAAAAATTGACCAACTCAATTACAAGACTATTGTTGAGTACTCTAAATACCGAGACAATGTTTAGTAAAGTCTGCTTGATGATTTATGAAGGAAGAAGAAGGTATCATATTTATAAACTGCGATGGAAGTTGGGAAATTTGCAGGGACTGAATAAAAAAGTAATCGATTTACCTGTAAGGCGGTAAACAAGTACAAAGACAGCTCAAATGTGCCCAAGTTTCTAAGTGAATAAAAGGAATACGACGTGGAAAGGATTGATAGGACATTTTAGTTTGGTAGGTACTATTTACTCGTTTAGCAAAATACATGCAGTTACTATAACGGATTTCTAGAGCTTATTGTCATAATATATTATCTTCCATTGTGGGATTTCCAAATTCGGACTGGTAGGGACGGTATTTTCATGTTTGGAAAAAAATCAAAGCAACGTTTAAGTGTCGAAATAAGTCGGTTAGAACGTCTATGGTAATGCCAATGCGCAACACACGTGCTGGGAAGGAGGGGACGGCGGCCCCTTCGGGTTTTGCAGCAGATTAATTTTATCCAATAGGGTGGTCAGGTCACACAATACCGTTACGGGTCCCCTTCATGTGTGTGTAGTCGATTCATCACAAAAACCGATTTATTTTCCTGTGCATGACAAATTCAAATTTATTTCATCTACACGCACGACTGTTTTGTTATTCCACGCAACTGGTGAATGAGTTTCACTGCTCTGTATAGTAAGGTTTTTTTTTTACAAAATTGCATTTACCCCGGTCCTATGGCCCTAGTACACGGAGAACAATAGAAATTAAAACTTATTATACCTACATCATTTACAGCTACTTCCATATCAAATTATCGAGCAACCCCGAGGGTGGAAGATTAATACTACCGTGTGATGTTTCCGTTTGCAGTTATTAACAAACGAGCATTTAGTACATTTTAAGTAGATATAAACTTTGCACTGTACATGTGTTCAAGGAAGATGATTATCATTGTAGAACCCGTTTGAGGTATTGTTTTTGTCACGAGTCCCTTATCATTATCACTTATGCATGTAACAATTTAACAAAAGCCCTTTCAAAAATTAATTCAATAGATCGTTTACGTCGAGTTTTAAAGAGCTATTCATTTTACATTTCGCCTCTTTTTTTCAGTCACAAATCATGCAAGGAAAATCAATAAATTCGAATATATTTAAAACGGTTTGTTTTGGCGCGAAACCTATTGTGACTTATAGAATACCACTTACCAGGTCAATATACGTGAACAACGTGGTAACCTGTGGTATGATTGTTATGCAAATAATTACATTTACAAAATGTGTACAAATATATTTTAAATTAAGTATATTGTTAATTAATTTCAGCACATTCGACAAACGTGCATTAAATTTAATGTATCTAAAATTGTAGAAATGTCTCTTTTACAAATGGTAAGTACCTGTTTATTTTTGATTTAGTCTATTTATGAAATAGTTGTAATTTGTGTACATAAATAGTGCATATTAATGTAACCCGTATAGAAAACTATTATGATAATTTTGGAGTAAACCTATTGGCTACTATGCAAATTAAGAGGTCACTAATCTCTGAAATATCATTTATTTAAGTGCATTGTATAGCTAATTTTTCAATAAAACTTATCATTAAGATAAAATTTGTAAGCTTATGTATAATTATATTATTATACAGCAAAGAGGTCTATATTTTCATTGATAACTATTTCACTTGATTTGTTTCAACTTATGTAATGCATACAGGCCCTATTTTTGTATTTAAACATAAATGCTTCTTCTTCTACTTTCAGTACGTTCCTAAGAGAACTCAGATAATTAAATCTTGAAAAGCAATACTTATGAATACTTCATAACATTTATATGGTATCGATCTTAGCATAATTTTAAAATTTGTTAATTAATTATTTGTATATGAAAAATGTTCTGTTTTATCATTTTTATTATTAAATATACAGACAGGGTATATTTTAGTGTAGATGGGTGCAACAATTATAAAGTGTCTATATGGCTTCTGTTTACATAAGACAATTCGGTTTGAATGTAAAAAAAAGATATTGTTTTACAGGATTAGGCAGACAGTAAAAAAGCGCATACAAAAATGTATTATTTACAAAATAAGTATATCATTTTATTATAAAATAATGTACATTAAAAACTTAACACTAAAATAAAAAATAAGGCACTTTAAAAAATATGATCGTATGCCTGTATACATAAGACAAAAATAGCGTATAGTAATACAGTAAGTCACATAATAATTCAACAAACATTAAAAACATTTTAACTTTTTTTGTATTCCCTGTAAAGTGATTTACATTAAAATGAGCAAAATCAAGAGTCGATAGTCATATAAGCCTATAAATACTTAGGTAGGTAACAATATATGTTTTCATTGAAGTGAAAAATTCGATAAAAAAAAGTTATACTTTCAAGTTATTCGCTAAAACTTATAAATACGTATAAAACTAATTAGAACTTTTTTTTTGTTTTGTAAAAAAAAATTATAATCGCGAAAAACAAAATCGTTTTGAATGATAAATTAATATGATTTTTCTCAAACGCATTTGTTTTGTATACATATATAAACGTAGGTATAAGATAATAAAATAATATGAAACGAATATAGAGTAAAAAAAAAATATAAAATAAGTGTACCTAATTAAACTTAAAAGCATAATGACTAGACTTTTAATATACAAAACAAAAATTAACAAAAAACATAATATCATAATATAATAGATGTTGTATTATATCGTGAAGTTATATAAAAATAATAATTATATAGTAATATATAAAAAGTTACATAATAATATTAAACAGTTGATAATAATTATTACGGTATTTACCACTTTGGAAAAAATAAAAATAATAATAATCTGCTACAAAGTGGCAATAACATTGTTTAGAAGAAAATTCGCCGAGTAAAAAAAAAAGAAAAACAATCTATTATTGTCTAATAATATTTAATAATAATTAATTAATAAACGTTTCGACCGTGTTCGTGTGCGGTAAGAATAATATTCATAATATATTGTATAATTTTCAATAAAAAATAATAATTATCATAATGACAATCATCATCAGCTTATAACAAGCCTTTAAGGTCCAACGCTGCCATCGTTCGATGATGATTCATTATAATGACAATAATAATAATAATAATAATAAATAAAAACATAGCGATTTGTATAGAATTTTTTTTTTTTTTTTTTTTCAGCTAAGACGTGAAGCTGAGAGCATTTTTTATTTTTGTCAATTTTGATTTTCAGCTAACAGTTGGGTGTAAAAGTTTGGCGGCATGCGAAACTGCGACAATTCGGACGGGTCCAGTTTGTACTGCATGTCTGAGAACAGACCTATCTCGGCAGTGGTCAGTAGCTGATGATGGTCGTTGTCGTTCTGTTTGTTGGAAAAAAAGAAAAAGAAAAAACACCGTTAGTTTTCTATATTTTTGCAAGTATAAACCCATAGACCTCAGGTCGCAGGGCAAGAAATGTAATAATGTCGCAATAAGATGCAACACCGCCTGTCTCGTTTTTCTCGACTTTACGGGAAGAGTAATAAAATCAGTTTCAATATAACAATTATTCGATTATCTAAATCTGAGATACGAGATGTTGCACCTTAAGCATGGATGGAATACACAGGTTATTGCACATCGTAGCGAATCGTTATCTTCAGAAACAAAATGGCAGCGTAAGGAGGTATCAATTTTACCTACTGTGTAGTTGGTATATACTTGATTTTAAATGGCTCCCTTTAAGCTGACATGTTGTTGAATATTCGATGATATGACCATCGAATATTCGACGAAGAAGGCGAATATTATAATGTACAATAACCTTGTATCACTTTTAATCATAATCTGACTCTGAAATATTTTAAATACTATTTTACACTCACGTGATTGTGCGGGCTCAACGACAACACTCCTTGGAGCTGATTGATGTACTCGATAGCCAGCTGTAGGGTTTTCACTTTGCTCATCCTTTTGCTCCTGAACACAATAAACGAGTACGTCGTTAGTTTTGGCGCACTTAAGTATACTATGTAACGGCTAAAACCGATCATTCTGGCCAAATATTTATGTACTATATAATATATATGTATGAGACTCCGTGTCACTTTAATAATAATAATAATAGTAATATATTATACGGAGAGACCCCCAGGCCCGGCTTGCAGGAAGCTCCTAACGAGGGTAGCGCACACGACACACATCTGGTACACCTCCGACCTACCTATATATACAAGCAAATGGGTCGCGATATTGGCGACACGTGACTTGGCTTTTCGGTTTTACCAACGGGTACATAGCAGAAACCAACAGAGTCCTGTTTGTAGTCATTTCGTACAGTCTATGCACTCTGTTTCGCGACAAACACATCACTATTTAAATTATTCTAAGTAACGTATTTCGCCGTGTTGTCAGTTAGACAGAGACTGAGACAGTAAGTGCGCGGTGGGGCGTCCTCTTAAGGTGGGTACAACAAACATGAAGTGGCTAAACAAAAATGTGCCATACTTGAAGTCTGATGCCCTGGTGTGAGCACCTCACAACACACCCTTGCCCAAATTGTGAACATACCGAATTTTAGGGAAGGGTAATTCCCACACCTGTGTATTATGAACGTTGAAAATTTCTATAAGGGGGTAGCGCCTATGATTCCCAATCGCCGTCAGTATATTCGGCGTGTGTTTACACACCGTTTGCGGTACCTGACCAGCTATTCATTCAGACTTGTTATTTTTTTGGACAGACTTATTATTATCATTAGCATAGGTGAGCGTGGCACGCGCCGGTCTCGGCGTCGTAAAGTAAAAAATATGTATAATATTATACACCGTGTGTACACACAATACAAGGTGCGACGGGCGAATAAATAATTGGCTGGAGAAGCACCTGTTTTGTTTTTTTTGTCGTTGACGGCGGTGGCACACGACCGCAGTGAGAAAACCAGTTCGCCGAAAATATAGAAAAAAAAAATTAAGAAATAAGTATAATGTTATGTAGCCACCGAGAGAGTACACGTACGAGATGGGGTTTTAAAAGCTGGTCAAAACATTATAATATACCGGTTCTGTCGAATAATAATAAATAATTATACTTGTATCCTTCTCCGTATATACACACACACACATATATGTATATTATATAGATATAATAACAACGGGGACGTCCATCGCAGATAATGTTGTAATATGTCTCGGGAGAGAGAGGAGAGGACTAGGGCAAGCAGAGACGAGGAAACAAGTCGGACGGCTACCGCGATGACGGCGGTAGTGCAGGTGCTTTTTTTTTTTTTTAAATATTTTTTATACATATTATATACTTATAAATTTTGTATCTTTTTTTCGGGCGGCTCGTGCCACAGGACACGCGGCTGCATCACCTGCTGTCCTGTATACCGTCTCCGCCACCGCCGCCGCCGTTTGACCTCAAGTGTTGCTGCCGCGCATACTAATTAAACCTGGAGACCAGTGGGTTTTTTTTTATTATAATAATTATTTCTGCGCTTTCCTTCCCCCCCCCACCCCCGCCCCTCTTGGTACTTTTACATTTAACACATTTTTTTTTACCGTTGACAGGGCACTGCAAGCCGATACCTTTCACCCGCCGCCGCCGATCGTTAAACCCATATTTTTATACAAGTATCGAAACGGCGACAAAAGTTATTGGCCGAGATGAACCTGATTGAACTCTGGCGGTACCAAGAAAATCGACCGCGATCAATCGGCCTTAAGCGTGACCGATAAGGGGGTTTTGCATTGCAAATTGCCAACGACGGCGTTCATCGTATATACCAAAAACGCGGTGGTCCGTGTCCGAATACGAACAAAGTTTCCGTTTTTAGCCCCTTCGAATCGTAGCCATAGCCATAAGGAGGACTTAGCCGATCAGAGTACCGTTGACTCCAACTCGGATCTAAACCGTGTTGAATAATGTACTCTGTGTAGGTTTAGGTCAGATATTTACAACCGGATCCATACCCTTATAATGACGGGTAATTTATTAAAAAATATATATTTTTTATCCCCCCTGTACGTGTTCGGTACATACAATTACCTACGTACAACGGTTATGCGACATTTATTAGAAAATAACACACAGGATGATTTTTTTGTCGGGTGTTAAAACGCGCATCTTCGGAAAAATGTAAATGATTTAACGACCGCAATCTGCATGGGGAGACTCTCTTGGAATAATGCAGGTACCAGAAACGTGTCGGATGAATAGTATTTAAGTGCGGAGGAAGGGAAGGTTTAATTTTTTTTTTAACCAAACATTAACGGGTTTACACGGGTTAACGATACGATTGTGTAAGACCTTTGACAAATAAAAAAAAAAACGAGGCACTGGTATGAAACTAACCAGCGACCGTTAAACACGACCCTAGTGCGCACTTAATGTTTGTGCACAGAACTGCGATGGGTTATTTTAATTGTTTAATTTAGCGCGGCGCATATCCGTTTGGCGGACAGTGAAAAATAATTCGAATTAGTCATCGGTGTTTTATCGCCACTTTTAACACTTAGTGTGTTATGTTCCATTGTTATTTTTCCCTAAGTGGTTTAAAAATCATTGTCTCTCGATCACCGTGTGCGTGTGATTTCCTATGTTTAATCGACACTCGTTGGGAGTGGCTTAACACGGTTAAAAAACGTGCCTAGAATTGTGTACTTGATAAAACGACGGTCGATAGATAGGTTTTATTAATTTGCTACTCGTGCTTACTTGTTCTCTTCCAAAGGCACGACCTTTCGGAGTCTGGCAAAAGCCCAGTTGACCGCTTGCACCCTGCGCCTTTCCCGGGCGTTCCGCCTGGCTACCACTTGAGCGGGCTTTTGCCCCGCCGGCGTGTCCTTTGACCGGCTGCCTTTGTTCTTGGAAGATCCGGCTTTCTGACCTCCCCCGGTCGACGTTGACGCCAGGGACGGGCCCGGCGACGAGCTGGTCGTGCTGCATATGATCGTCTGTTGGCTGTCCGAGTCCGACAACCATTCTTCCTTGGTGTTTTGCGCAAAAGCTTCTGTAAAAAACAAAAACAAAAAACCAGCGTTAATCAACACAGCTCTTCGAAAAAGGATAGTTGCATTTAGGGTTTAGGATTTGCCCCGATAACGCGCTATTGTTGCGCACTACCGCTATCTCACCGGTACGGAGGAGAGCGGGGGCTTAAGAGAGTAATAACGCATTTGCATACAAACCGGCCGCCGACTACTTACACACGAATAACAAATAATATAGTCGACCCATTAGGCAACCGCTTCCCCCCCAAACATACCTATAATATTATTTTATATTGTTTTCGTTTTACGACGGGGCGAACGCATGCGGTTGTGTATTTACCAGTGCGCTCAGAAACAGGAAACGTACGGCCCTTCTGTCAAACAATACACTGCAGCGGTAGTCTTGTTTTTTTTGTTTCATTGAAATTAATGCTCGGGGCGAAATGAAAACTGCATCCGTTCGAAAATACCCGGTACAATAACGGTGGGCATAACGACGGCCAGAATGTTAATCGGGCGACTTAAAATCTGTTTAATTAAACATAATTCTCCAGCCGCAATGTATAGCAGACTTTACGTATAAGACCCAGGCACTTTGGGAGTGCGAAATTCATACCTACTCGCATAGCATTTAACGACATTTCTCTCATCGACCTACATTTCGATACATTATCGGGTGGAATTTACTTAAACGAGCAGCGGCCGTCGACGGTTGCTCAATAAGCACGTTTAAAATATAGTTATTGATCCATGGTGTTTAAACGCAAGTCTGTCACGAGACGGCAGTTTCAAACGGGCTACAAGAGCACACTTTCAATGATTTACACACAAGTTGTGCCAATGCGATCAACCACTCACCCTGGTAGCTGGACGAATCGGCGGCGGACAACGACGGTGACGGACTGGACGCGTAAGACATTTCTTCGTCGATAGAGGTCTTAAGGAATAACCGGGCGATAGATGGATATATTTTTGAATCGTTCACCACGCACACACGACCAGGAATCGCAGGACCGACTGAGGTGGAAACGACACTGAAGGTGTATACCTGCTGATGAGAGATGGTCGGTATACACACGAAACTGGATCGGGTATTTACGGGCGAATATGCGCGTATTGGGGCGCACAGAAGAATTTCGATAGATGGCATTTTATCGTATACAAACATCATCGGTCCAGGTACCTTTTGTGTGTATTTCTTCTGTGTGTATTTTAAACCAGTTTTTTTTGTACCTATACATTTAGTCGTTGCACGCTGCGGCGGATGAGAGACGGGTCGAGCCGCCTAAAGGTCTGGGCGTCGCACACAATAGAGGGTACGGACGGACGGCCGGTATGCCGCAGGGATTCCGACCCCATAAAGAGCGGTTAAGTACACGGTATTCGCCGTGTAAAGGTACGCGCCAACCGGAGGGCCGCGAATGTAACGAAAACGATATTTCTCTCCGGTATCCTTCAGCCGTGATTCTTCTCCATCTCCCCCCGGACCTTAGGGAATTCGAGATCCGTAGAAAAAAAATAAAACGACGAGCACAATAGACATAGTACACTGTACATCACCCTTGTGGCAGCACCCCGGTTACGCAAGGAACCCGTACCTGCACTACCGGAGTTACACGTTCGGCTTTTTATTCTAAGCAAATAATACATGCGTTATATAAGTGTATATGCTCTATGTTTTCCATGGACTAGAAAAACCGCATGCGTTCGACCCGAACAGCAGCAATCTAGTACAAATATTCACATATTATAATTATTTTACCGGCAGCACAGGCCCAACCGGGGGGGAGTCGTAATAATTGAAATATTAGCAAATAAGGGAAAAGGCGAGCTGCAGTGTGACCAGAATAATTAAATAACATTTCAAATTGTTTCTCTACTGCAACCGTGCGATGCAAAACGACATACGACATCAGTTATATTCATATTACCGTATGAAATTTTAATTCATCTAAGTAATTAATACTGTGCGGCGTTCAAAAAGTTATAAAAGAAAGTATTTTTATATTTAAAGTGTCACACTACCGCTAGATTTCTTGATTATACTTCGTTGTCGAGAACAAGGCGTTATAATATTATGGTGATGTGTTACAGCTCTATACACTGACTTTCTCTATGGCTCAGACCTAGGACCAAGGTACACCCGAACAAAAGTGAAAAACAATACAGGGCGTTTTTGGAGTAGACGACTTTGTTTTTATTTTTTTTCAAACTCAAAAGGAATACACGGAGCGGTTAGGATTACGTGTACGGAGCCGGCGCGCATTCGTACACCTTATGTTGGACCATATGACGCACTTTGAACTCCTCCTTGGGAACACCAGACAGCGCGTACCCCATATGGTCCTTCTGGACTAGAAACTAGCTATAGCGCGCACAGACACCATACACTGGCAACGGGATCACCATATGGCACTCAAAGACGACAGAGTTAATGAAAGGCGTTCACCTTATTTTGTGCGTACACCTAATGGCCGGCCGTCTGTTAACGGCAATTTCGCGGACCAGACTTGAAAAAGCCATTAACTCGCCATCGTCGTCTGGTCATCACGTGGTCCTGCGAACCGGACTACCGAGTCCAGTATACCGCACATACCTGAACCTTGGTCGCGGTATCCCGGGTGCGACCGACCGACCGGCAAAATATTATTATTATAACGAATAATCGCACCGAAACCGAATTTACTTCCGGACTACTATGCGACCGAGCCCTGCCCGGTTGATAATCTCGATTTTACGGCCACCCTCGCCCCCGGATACCGGACATAATAAAAATATTATTATATACAAAAGGGATGTGTGTAATTGGTCCGCACCTGAGCGCATTGCCCAAAACGTTTTCACCCCCGACGCCGGGGGTACTAGAAAAACGTTCATGGTCCGCCGGCAGCGGTAACAACTCATTTCCTAGTGTGTGAGAACCAAATGAAAAAATTGTTAAAAAAAACAAAAACCTTCGTGTTCCGGCGGTTGAGCCTTCGCCGGCATTGTTGTTAATATACGCTTATATATTTATATATTGCCGGGCAAAAAAAAAAAATCTGTAACGAATTTTTCGTCTTATATATAATATAACCCTTACCGGCGTCGGCTCCGGCTGTCCACCAGTCTTCTTGCCCGTTACCCTCGTGCACTCGGGAACAGAATTGGATGAACGAAGGCATCGAGGATTTCAGTTCTTCGCCGATGCTCATCATTGCATAGCCTTTTGTATGAACGCTTTTCTATTTGAAAATCCTGGAAAAATATAAAAATACAAACACGGTCAGACGGTCAATGATATAATATATGGGTCGGAATATCGGGTAATAGAAAAGAAAACTGAACAGACGAGAATGTCAAGATGGACCAGTTTAACATAGACCTAACCTAACCAGGGGGAGTCTAAGATTTGCATAGATTGTGGGGAAAACGAGAGAGAATAGGTCGAGATGGAGAAGAAACACGGTCAGACGGTATGCTGTAATCAGAGGCTATTTTTTAAAAATAAATTTGCATAAGGTTTTTGGGAGAGGCTAAATTAGACAAATACGTTAGCCGCCCAAACTTTATATTCTAATTGCACCAATGACTGTACATCAAGCGGGGGGGAGGAGGTAAGGGACAAGTAGTGGAATGAAATGAGTTCAAAAGGTAACTTTATAATAACAGCCTGTGCTCAGGGTGGTGGTGGTGTACACACTTTAAGGCAATAAACAATCGTTGTAATATATCATCACTGCTGCCGATAGTGATATAATAAATAAGTGTGTGTGTGTGTGTGTATGGGGCGCGTGTCTTTCGGGTCGAACCGCGTCTTTAGACGGTATTATGATATTGTTTCAACCGCAACCCCAGGGGGGTGCCGACGATCCCCGGTACAGATTAATCACGGTACATCGGTCCCAATATTTGTACTGATAATGAGTAGCCGCCCAGATAATATAGCAATATAGATACAATATGTATCGTTCGTGTGTGTGTGTGTAGAGGATCTCGCGCAAGTCGCATCTGCTTTTTTTTTTTTGAAATGGCTTTTACGACCTGTTGGTTTACAAGTTTACCAAAGGATTCGAGCACCGGCCGGTCGTTTTACAACGGTCGTATAATTAATATTATTATAAGTAAACCGATCGACCCTGTGCGGCGCAGCTCGAGTGAGTTTGATTTTTGAAACGGTTAGACAAACGGGTATTCCGCTCTTCTAAACAGACATGCAGTATCTCCGAAAATCAAATCGTTAAGAAATAGAGTTTTTCGTTTTCTTTGTTCTTCATCTTGAAATTATTATGTTCCTCGCATTAGTCATAAGCGCGCAGCGTCCCTAATATTTTTATAAGTTTTCTTTTCTAAAAGTTAGTGTATTATTGTTACTTTTTTAAGGAGATACTAGTGGATTCGCTGCGTTTCACCGTGGGAATAAAAAACGCGGATTTATTCAACTTCCCGGTTTATGAAATAACTTTAATTTTGAAAATTTTCGGCCGGTGTTTCTCTTTAAAGGGGGACAGTATTTTGGACAGTTGTTTCGATGTGGCCGAATAAAACCGAAAATAGGTGTTTAATCTAGTTTTTTAGTGTTAGGTGTTTTTTTACCGCGTTTTCGGTCGTCATCAAACGAATGCATAAACATTTATTATTGTTTTTTTTTTCGTACATACGATTTTTTGTGCGCGCCCCACACGAAAACCGGTTCTACGCGTTATACACCTATATAATATACAGCCGAGGGTTGTGCGTGCGTGCGTGTGTGTGTAAAGGGCTTATTATAAATGGAGGGTTGGCTGTATTTTTTCAGTTTCATGCTCGAGTGCGACCGTTCGCCGCCGTTGCTTCCCTTCATCTCTCTCTCTCTCTCATCTATAGTTCCCCCGGTGTTGTGTAGTTACGGTTCTACTATATACATATAATAATAATATATAATGCGCGCACGGAAACCAGTTGGGGGAAGAATATTATTATATTCACCTCGACGCATATTATGCACAACGCCGCGCGTTTTTCTGCAAGGGTGTTGTCGTCGTCGTCGGTATGTGCACCACCTATGTATATGTTGTTACTGTACACGTCTCCTAGGGCTTAATAAAATACGATTTGGCAATGTCGCAATTCCTCCAATATGTACAATATACGTGTACAAAAACACATACGGTATAATAATAATAATAGTATGTTATATACCGGGTGCCCGGTACACGGTTTTTATAATTTGAATATTATTCCGACGTTGTGCCCGGCCACAGGAAACGTTCCCAACGAACGACGCTTTTGCTATACCTAATAATATAGCGATAACACACGTCCTCACGGGTACTCGAAACGACCTTGTTTCTTAAACAAAAAAAAAAAACTCAAATAATTTGTAATTTAAAGACAACACACACACACACGAGCGCGCGCGGAGGCGATTTTCGACGGTTTTGGCGCGGTTTTATATAGTACTCGTATTGTAATTATTATTATTATTGGCCAAAAAACGTTTATTGTAACGGACGGGCGGCCCAACAACAATGGTATCATGTTTTTATTTTTTTTTTTAGCATAGCGACTACCTGCATGGACTCGAAAATTACCAATATTATTATTATTGTTATTCATAACCCGAACGTCTTGGTACGCGCGGTACCAGCATGATTGAATATTATAACATCATAATATTAATAATAATATATGTAATATTTTATTATTAATATATATCTGGATCCCGTATGGTCGTCGAAACACATAGCAAGGACATCGATTAAGTATTATATTATATTGTGTGTATATGTTTTTTTTTTTTGTTTGAACCCGCCGCCGTTTTTTAAGTAGTCTTCCCGGCGCCTTCTACACACGACAACATAGTAAAACCGACACACGATACTGCTCTCTGCGGCCACCGCGCGTTATTATAATGTATTATGCATATAATACCTACCTATTAATACTGTATAATATAGTTATACATAACATTATGTGTGTTTCTTTTGGGCCTACATCAGACACGAGCCGAGTCCGACGGTATACGGGATGCCTACGGCGCGTACACGGGTAATTTACACATAAAGAGATAAACAACTCTCCGTACATCACACTCACACGCACGGTGATAATATATATTAAGTTAACCACCTAGACGTGTCTTCTGTTCGGCCAAAAAAAAACCTACGGTACACCCGCATGTTGTCACAAAGGAATATAATATACTTAACCCGAACGACAGTCGGCCACGTTATATGTCTCCCGGATTTGGCCAATAGTTTTTTTTTCGAAATGCCCAATAAAAATACATAATATTATATACTTAGGTGTGCGTGTGTGACTTGCTAGTAGGTGATTTTAACGACCGGGCGATACGTGTCCCGGTATAAACATAGTAGTGCCAGAATAATGATAAAACGTCCATCTCGCTCAACGTGTAGCGACCGAGTGAACTCGTAAAGTCGGCGGCAATATAAATAATAATAATAATATTTAACGTGTATATTATTGTAATATATTATTATTATATTTCGCATTAAAAAAAACGAAAAAGGCGGCCACCGGCGTTCGTGACCGCGCATGATATTTTTTGTTTTTTACACTGGGAGTCGGTCCGGAACGTGTCCGGTAGGGCAGCGCAGGCTTTAAAGGACTTTTCAAAAATCCGTTGCCGGTAATAATAAAATAAAGTATAATAATTATTATTCGGGCGCGTACTCGGGGGCACTTAACCCGTTTCCATAGGTGTACAAGGAGCTCCGGAGCTTAATGTATAACAAAAAATATTCATAATAATACTCTGCGCCTCTGTGTCTCTTCGTCCCTTTTTCTGCCACCGCGGTTTTTTCCCCCTCGTGTGTATTTGTTTTACACCGTAAGAAAACGGTCTAAGTGGTCGAGTACGCGCCGGATGTATGTACGTACGTTGTGTACTGCGGGTTGTAAAATTTTTATAAAATATAAACGTATTAGTAGGTACAAGACCCGTCGAGCCAGGCCGGAAACCGGAGTACCTATGGGAAAATTACATTTCCGTGTTGGCTGTTCGCTTTGCCTACAGTTTGTGTACATAATAATATAGAGGGTTACCACAACCCGACACGTAACGGTCGCTATACTTTGTGTCGAACCGGACAAATAGTAATAGGTACACGATAAACACATTACAGCAGAAAATATAGGAAATACATTTTTCGTTTGATTTTATCTTCACATGCTTGCAAACGTATTTAGAGTTTAGAAAAAAAAACCTATTAAAAAATTTAATATTTTTCCGTGGCGGAACTGTAATAAACGCGCCAGAACAATAGTTTTTTCAAATTTAAGTTGGTCGAAAGAAAAACAATTTATATAAAACTAAAATATATATGACTATAAGGTCATGAATAATAATGCGGGAAACACAATAGTAAGAATGTACAATGAGTCCTTCAAAAGCAAATTGGCAAATGCCGAATTTTTTGAAATTTGTAATATTTTATAATATGTGTAACATGTTAAAATCACAAATTTCAAAAATGTTGACCACTTCTCTAAATTGTGATCGATTACCTACCTACCCCGTTTGTTCGCGGTCGGAATTAGTAACTTTATATGTTTATGACTCGAAGTTAGTATACAAACAAAATAAGTTCAATACTTGGAATTGCAGTGTTTGAAATTAAATTGATTTTCAACAAAGGCGGGGGTTGCGCGTTTGGCACTAACTTTTTACCAATTTTGACAGATTGAATGATTGAAAATAAACCGTGATTCGCGAACCTACCTAAACTCTATCTATCGTTTGAATTCCAATCACAGCAACAGCTGACTGTTATGAGAAATTAAAATAATATATATTATGATGCTTACCTTGTTGTCGTCGAAGAAGGCTGGCGCGGTGTCTTGTGTGACGGTCGGTCGGTCGGCGACGATAAAAATAAAAAAATCAGTAAGCCGAGGTTTGTGCAAATGGAAAAATAAAATAATAATTATTCAAATAAAATAAGATTTCTTGTCGTTGCAGAGACGGTGGCGGTGTGTGCGTGTCCGGCGGTGGTGAGGTTCGAAACGCGACTGAAGGTCTCGGGGGTAGCTGCGCCGGTTGTATATGACGAAGACGGGGGTGAACCTGGCCAATAGGGGAACGACCAAGGAGGCGGCGCGGCCACCGGCTCTTGTCATCCCCACCCCGCAGGCTACGGCCGTGGCTGGCCAGCGCGCGCGCGACCAAACACCTGGAACGCGCGACGCGGGTACGAAGGCACGCGCCATCCCCTCCACACACACACGCGGTCTTACCGAAGAAGAAAATATATAATAATGCAACGAACAAAAAAAAAAAAAAAACACATACACATTAAGAGACGTGGGAACTTAAAACGCCAACCGGTTTTCAAAACATTTTTTTCTTTTTCGGTACACTTCATGTCACAGCCGCGCCATGCCTCCGGTAACCAGACTACCGTCGAAGGCCACAGCCACTGTCAAATATATTATAATAGTAATAATAATAATATAATTTTCAACAAATTAAAAAAAAAAAAGAGTCAAACGACAAACGAGACATTTAGCTGGCCGAAATTAGAAAATTTTACTATCGTAGGTATTTTTGCTTATAACTATAAGCTATACTTAAATATGCAATTAATGAATAACGTCACAATATTATGTGATAAGTGTATAATAAACATTTCGCACTACCAATGTAAGTCGTGGGAAGCTTCGCCGTACAACACGTTCTTACAATTATTTTTATAGTATAAATATAATAACTGAATTTAGATACACGATATTATAGGTAGTTTAAAAAAATATCTAAAAAGAACGCCATCCTCTTTAAAAATAAAACGTGTTTATGGCAAACCGTAGTTAAAAAAACTCCTGGCTACTGAACTAATAATTACACATCACAGTTTAACCTTTAAATTAAGGTTGTGCAAAAAATTGCCTATACCTAACTCCTTAATAAATATAAAGGGTATGCCGTCCTCTTAAAATTATTGTTCTGTTTCTTTCGGCAAACTCGTCAATCATTTCCGTGTTGTCAATATTTTTTCGATAGCTGTTTTTCAATAATATTTAAGATTGATAGAGTATTAAAGCGATTTTGAACCATTGAAGTTCTCAGCCATGTTTCAGAAAAGCATCGCTCACGCAAGACGTGGCTGAATCGATTGGTATTGTTATCGCCACTATTGTACATAATATAGTTTATATCCATTTTTAATGATTTCCTTTCATAAAATAATTATAAATAAAAAAAAATTGCAATTAGTCCTCAAATATCCGAAAAACTAATAGTCCCCCCCCCCAAGCCGCCGTCAGCTGTAAGTTAAGATACTTAAGTTACTTGTAGATACTAATATGTGCTAAAATAAACAAATTACATAATATATAGAGCGGTGTTTGCTGACACTTAACTGTATATAAAATAGAGTTAAGACCCATAAATCCACAAAGATTGCGGCTACAGTGGCTTCGCTGGGCAGTTGATAATCTAGTTTTATCTGTTACTAGCTTAGGTTAACTTTGAGCGGGAAAACGAATAAGGCGCCAATGATTGAAGGGCGCACACGGTCGGTGGTCCGTCGGTGTTCGTTAAAGTCTCCGCCGCCGCCAAAGAGTTCTGCCGTCAGCTTGTCGCCGCCAAATTAAATATTAGCACTGTTGGTAATGTTTATATTTTATAGAAAAAGGTTTGGCTTGGTTAATCGGCGCAGAACGTTATTATTTTTGGCATTATCCACTAAAATTTATTTCTTAAATCAACACAATCGGACGGACCAGTTTCGAGTGTACCTATAACAAGGACCGTGGAATGGCGAAAAGTAAACAAGACAAAAAAACAACATAACGATAAAAACAGAATATATTTTTAATAAGTCAAAAAAAGATACACATAAACGTCCATTACAAAAAGCAAAACTAGTTGAAATTTAGATATTTTACCTAATTGAGCTGATTATCTTTTTACATTTGCATAGGACAGTGTAAAAATTGAAATATTTTAAATTGTTTTATACAGTGAGATGTTTTAATTAAATTTATAGTTATATATAAAAAAAATGTATAATACATCAATTATGATGATAGTGCATACATAAGATATTACATTTATTGGTTATCGCTTTGAATATCAGTTATATTTTAAACGTGTTTTCTCTTCCTCGGTAATACAAAGATATACTTAGTTCTGGTAGTTTTTACCTATTAATTAATATCCTTTAAATGCCCACATGTTATGCATAATATTATAATACAAATAATACATAATACATAATATTAATACAAATACAATTCTGACAAGATCAAACGGAATCATTAATACTAGTTATCAGGGTTAGTGGACTATAATTTGGGACGATTATTTTTGATAACCGCTTGTTATTGGTAATGAACTTTGTCATTTTAGAAAATCCACGTGACATGTCTTATAAATTTATTGATTTGCGCGTTAATTCGATGCGGATCTAGTAATGAGCCCCAGTGTTAATCATGAGCTAAAAGTAAAAATATAATTGAATTATTCTTGTAATTTCCCTAACGGACGGAAGACGTGTTATATTTCCGGATGAGTGTACAACATAGTATTATTATAATGTGTTGTCTGGCTAAAATTTAAATGTAATAGGTGTATGGATTTACTGCTTGGTCGCCAACCGGGGAAGATTAAAAATTAGATTGTACGATGCAAAATATATAAAACAGTGTAGTCGGATTCGCAATTATTATTATGTGGATCGTTTACGATCACTAAATAGATCATCGTGCCGTCTGGTCGATGGTCGTGAAGAAGACCGGTTTCGAAGAAATGCAATTTAATATGAACTATACAGTTGCCGCAGACAGCTGATCTACCGAAACGCCATTATGGGCAGTATACCGTGTCATAAATTTTTATTTTTTCGGCGTTAACCGAGGCATGGACCGTCGACAAATCTCAGTATATACATGATATCTAACCAATACCAAAGCGCGAATTAAGCCGTCCAATACGCATTGAAGGCTATAATAATATGATATTATCAGATCCGGTACTTTTGTTCACTATACAGGGTGATCAAACAGATGACACTCGCTTTTTTTGGGAAAATATGAATATTTACAAAATTGAGGCGCCCAGTTTCGAAACCATCTAAATAACATTTTGAAATGGTGTTATTTTTTTTTCAAGTGGTCACATTGTATTACATAGTATTGCAAACTATTATTGAAAATCAAATAAAGATTACCTATGACTAACTCAAACTGTGTTGGGAAAATCTTAGTTTGCTTTAAAACCGCTCATTTGAAGAAATTATTTGTTGTTTGAGAAAAATTGCTCTTAGCTGGTTTTGAAACTAGTCGTCTCAACTATTTGTTTCCTATAATTGTAGATACAATATAAAATTTACTCAATTTTTTAATACTCAAAACCTTTTTGACCTTCGTCCCTTTTAAGTAAATTTAAGTAAGACAACGTTTTTAAGCGAGCGTTATTCTTCTGTTATGATGAGCAGCAAAACAATTTTCCATGACGGTTTCTATTTACTTGGTTTTTAGAAATGTTTTTATCTATTGAAAGAACTGCAATACCTGTTAGTGTTGTGTTGATCATTTTATTTCTCAAATATGGTTTTATTTGTCTGAGGCTAGTCTCTTCACTCCGGCACTGACAGGAATTAAGATAACTATTGTTATGGTAAAGAACAAAAATAGTTCAGAAAAAGCCAATTTGAGACTTTCTAGTAACTGTATGAAATCAAGTAAAATGTTACTTTTTTTTGGTTTGATGAACTTGAGTTCAGACTCCAAAGTTTCTATATCTACAGAGTAGTGTTTGACAAAAGTTGCCTACTAAATTTTTGTTAGTCTTAAAAGAAGTTGATCCCTGTAATTCAAGTAGGTATTCAAAAATGTTCCCTGTCTGGGTCCGGGGATAGAATAGACCCAGAGTATTTCCTGCTAGTCGTAGAAGGCGACAAAAAGGGACTGAGGAAGGGCAGCAGCTTTCTCAGTACTGGATGCAAGTAGAGACCTAGATGGTCGGAATAGTTTCATACCAGAAAGCCGTAGGCGGGAATGACAGTCATTTTGACGACTACGGTACTGCGATGTGGAAGGAAACGGAAACCACCACATAATATATTCCCTAGTATCCGCAGCATGAATTGCCTCAATGTAAAAGGATATACAGACGGTAAAACTGGAAGAGGAAGACCAAGAATAGAATACATTTCACAGATTATGAAGGACATGGAAATAGGTAGTTATCGAGATCTAAAGGAGCTGAGTTTCAACAGAGAAGCTTGGAGAACTGCGGCCAACCAATCGAGAGATTGAAGACCGAAAAAAAAAAATTCAAAAATGTAGTAAAATATGTACCTACAAGTATAGAAAAATTTTTTTTTTCAAATTATTTATAGGAGAAAACTAGTGCCTTACATCAGATTGATCACCCTGTAGAGACTATAGGTCGATGGACATTTTTAACGCTATAAACCGGAAGACGAATTTGCATATAAAAAAAATCTAGAAGCATATTCAAACGCTCGCTGGCTAGTTTTAATTAAAATATGTTTTAATATTGACTGATAAAAAATAAAGATATCTGTATTATTAATATTATACACGCCTAACTTGTTATAAATTTTGGTTTGCCGTATCTCACTCGTTCTCACCTAATATGTTAATTATAGTAGGTATAGCGTTTGTGTTTGGATTGGCATAATATTAGTATTTTAAACGGCGTTTATATTTTTGTCGGGTTAGAACGAATTAGAATCGACTTGTGTTGATTTCGATTTGATACACTCGCATATATTATTATAATAATGTAAATGTATACACAATAATATATTATTCTACAAACGACTTGTTTGCCACAGTGTTGTTCACTTGTACAAACCGCCAACTGTGACCACATGCCTATGTGTCGCTGTCGTTTGAATAATCACATGACACCTTAAATTCGGAACTCTCCTTGTTTTTTTAATCGCAAAAATAATACAGTAAAAAAAAAAAAAACCATAGATAATCTCTACTAAGCCGAGAGGCTACCAGTTTTTTTTTAACCTCAAT